ACGTCAAAATATGACGCCCAGTCGGTCCTATTCTTAGTTGAATCGCATGGGATTTTCTAAAATTTCGGGCAACAAAACGTACAATACGTACACCTATGCGTTAAGTCTGTGACAAATCCTCGGTAGACATTTTTTTAAGATTGAGAGACTTTTGTCCTCCGCGGACAAGAGTCCATCGTCTGCACAGGCTATTATACATACCTAAGTAACTTATATTGATGTAAATATAACATATGTAATTTAAAAAATATCTAGCTGTCATACAGTTTGTCTATAAAGTCGTGACATGAATGTTTGAGGAACTAACATTATTCATGTGTCTGGCAACACCAAACTTATGTACATCAGCTGTCATCGAGTTTCAGTTGTGGAACAGTTTTCATGGGAAAAAAGATATAAAAAAAAAGAAAAAAAAGTGGAACAGTTTTCCTTTTGTATCTTTTAGTGTTTGGATTAAACTGTAATAAATTAAGACGAAACTACGCGGAAAGATATAAAAATGAGTAAAGTAAATCGGAGTGGCACGCGGGCGGGAAGTGATTTTTAAAGTTTTCCAGCGATGTTTCGAAGACTACCAAACTGGACGAATTTTGTGGGATTTGGATAATGTTTATGGGCGAACAGCATCTATGACGGGTATGTAATCGTGTAACTATTTGTTTGTAATCTGCCTGAAGTTACAAATTTACTCAATTTACGATTTTGAGACAAAAAAAGGCATTGTTTACATTGCACATTTTTAGGTTAGATTGACATTGTAAATAGGTAATATAATAATAGGACCATTTCTTTTGATACGTTATAATGGTTCAACTCGGTCAGGTTTTCTACCAATTTTGAATAAATTGCTTCATGTCAATAAGTTATTCTATTCCGTTACATATTTTTTTTACTTTTTTTCAGGAAAATCAGAGAGTCGGATAGTCAACGAAGGTTTTAAGAATGATGGAAAGTTTGAAACTCCAGGGAAATTAGTTTTACTAACTGCACATATACAAATTGTTTCTCTAAATAAACTTTTTATATACTATAAAATGAATTTTATTTTCTTAACAAGTGTGTTGAAAAACGTCGTATGATGAATCTTGTGTGTATTGATGATTACCTAACGGCACTGGTCTCAATGGCACCTCAGCGGTAATCACCAACATTACACACTTTTACACTATAAAGTACTATTTTATCTATAATCATTTTATTCTGATTCAATTAAATATACTTGGCTATACTTTTTATAAGCATAGGTACCTACTGTATATAAAACAGAAACAAAATACGACTGTATAGTGTGTCTTATTAATTACCTATTTTACTTGAATGAACTGCTAGTATCAAAATCATTTTCCGACTGTATAGGGTTGCTACATGCATACTAGTGGCCATATCATTTAATGTCACGACTTTATAGACAAACTGTACGTGGGGGCCAATTTTATTGTACCTCGAGGGCCAATCACTAATTTTATTGCTGTTAATTAAAAATATTTTACTGCATAATAACATTGGGCTGTTTTATACTCAACCCCTATTTAACAACATTGTGGAACAACATTAAACGAAAACGAATAATTAATTTACTACAGACAAACAAATAAAGAATTCCGCTTAAGGAGCCAATCATTATATAGTATTTTAAAAATGGGTGCGTGTACTTATGTAGGCGCGTGAGAAGTTATCCTTCTTTGGCATCGTTTAAAATTAGTTTGAATTACATGCAAATAATTAATTACAATAAATTAATAAAAAGTCTGGAAAAGGACGAAGTCAATAAAGTTCAGTTTTAATTTGAAAAAATAAGTAAATAATCAAAATATTCAATTAAAATCGCTACTGAATATAATTTATTAGAACATATGTGATTTGCACTTGTATGAAACTCAAACACGTATTCCGAATATACAAACTAGAAACATGTGGATAAATATTATAAATATGAATACCTATAACTGTTACTTTATTACAAAAAATAAAGATGTGGTTTTTGGTTCTACTACACCAATGGTCAAGAGATGGCGCTGTAGTCTCCTGAATCGCGCTTTGGTTCCGTTGTTCCAGATTAATAAATACTTTTGATAGGCCTTCACAATGCAGTCGTTAGCACCCACTAAATAGAGATTCTATTTCTATTTTGTTGGTAGATTTTCTTAATGTACGGTAAACCCAAAAGTAACGCACGCTGTTAAAATTTTGTGTTACAGTGATACGCGCGCATCTTAAAATTTCACTCTCATCATTTTTTCATAACGCGCCTAAAGAAGTATAACTTCAAAAATTAAAAAAATACATGTGGCACTCGGAGACTAGCGCGGTAAAGCTATTACATAGCATTTTTTATCAACTTTGCAATTATAATTATTTATTAATGCAGTTTTTTTTTTCATTGAGATTAATTCAAGTTTTTTCTTTGATATTAATTCATATTACTCTTTTTGAGCGTGGTGACCAACGATATTAAATACCCTAGATACACCACGTGCGCTCAAAATGTGTCCCAATCAAGAAGTGCTTGAACATCACTCAAGCACTTCTTGGTTTACAGTCACGCGCGGACCGTTGAAAAGTCAAGATTCCGCAGAGCTCCGTGAAAAAATGCAAAATGGTATCTAATCAATGTTTGTTAATTTACTATTTATTTGTGATATTCAAATGCATGGTCGGTGATATACCCGTCTCTTTTCCTCGCTATCCGTAACTGCTATTTTGCTAACAGAGTATTCAGAATTTCGCGTAGAGTCAAAGGAATAAGGTCAATATTCTTCCGCATATAACAATAAGTCGTAAAATGTTATGAGCTTGCATTTCGAACTGTCATAACTCTTTGACGCATGCATTCTAATTGAGACCTTATACAGTGTGCATTAAAGGTGACTTTCAATGTTTAAATAATGCCTTATTTTGTTTTTGACTACGCGATTATCTTACGGAGCTTCGTGAATCGTACAGTGTACCTTTTGTACAGTTTTCGGCCACGATTTTGTTCCTGCTGGTGTATCTAGTATTTATATCGTTGGTGGTGACCGAAAAGAGAACAGTTTTTTTTTATTTTATTGAATAAATGAAAAGTTAATGTTGTTTAAAATATTTTTATAATCTTACATGCAAGCTTCGTACAGTCGTACCATATACAAGTATGTTAAGGTACAACTAGTCGCGGGCTCGAACTCACTCGTGGATGCGGTCAAAAAGCACGCTGTCTCACCTAGCTTTGTGTCTAAAAGAGATAGAATCAGTTATGAGCAGTTAGCAGCTAGTCTACACGCATACGCCTAGTCGCAAACACACAAACACCGTGCCGAAGTCTGCGGAACTGAAACGACGTTAGACGATGCATGGCTTTCAACGCCGCACCGCTGTGCCGGTCGGAGTGGGGGTGTTAAAAGAAAGAAAGAAATAAAAGAAAATAATTTTCATAAAATAAATATTCTAAATATTCTGTCAGGGCCTGCTTGGAGTTCCATAAGCTGGCGGTTGGCGCACGTGAGGCGCTCATTGATGTAGACCTGAGCACCGCCCCCCCCGGCGGGCCGCCCTCATCAGCGGTGTCCGGGGTGCCGTCCTCCGATCCACGGCCGGGAGGCGCCGCCCTCTACAACAGTGACCCTGCGGCGCACACGCGCGGCCGTCAAGAGGTCGTCGCGCAGCTGGCGGTACGTCAGGTGCACCACCACATGCGGGTGGCGCGGCCACACGCTCTATGAATACCAATTCCCGCCTGTCGAGAGTCACTCCAAGCCGCACGGTCAGCATGGTGACGCTCCGCTCCACGCCGATGCTCCTCTCTTCGGGCAACCCGCCGATCTTCAGGTCGGACATCAACGCCTCCTGATCGCGGTCGTTAACCTCGGCGCGCAGCTCGGATATGGTGCGCTCCAAGTCCATCCTACCAGTTGCATCAGAATCCACTTGACGCTGCTCCAACACCGCAATTCTCTAGTCGAAGGAGTCAAATCGGGAATTTCCACATAGGAGATGTAGTATGCAGTTGGCCAGCATACTTTTTATATCATTGGTGTGATGATTTTCGGCGGCGTTCTCCTTGGCCTTACCCTGAACCTTCTTCCTTTGGAGAGCCACTGGCCAGGTCGACAGGTTCCCGTGTAGCAACTGGTTTTTCGGGCTCAGAAGATTCGCTGATACTCTTTACAGGCGTATGCGTGTTGTCACCCCTGCGTGTGCTCTTCTTGCAGTTCGGGCATATCCAGTCCTTGCTGACATGCGACTTTTCCGGGATGGCGAGACAGGCCTTATTATATTTTATTGACCAAGCACAGCAAACAACAGCATTGCTTAGCGCCAAAAACTTACACGAGCTCCACAGTTTAACATCTTTGGTCAGAAATTTTTAATTATAATTAAGTATGAAGTCTAAATAAAAGGGAGACAAATTAAAATAAGAACAGGTGCTGGGGTCTAAAACAAATATATAAAAAAAAGGAAAAAAAATAAAAAAATAAAGATACGAGTGCGGGATTTGAACCGACGACCGCGGTGATGCGTCGAACGTTGGTACCGTGGCAAAGATTTAACACACTGCGCCGCCGCGCCCTACAGATTTATACTGTAAGGGCGAAAATTGTGTTCTATTCGTACACTCTTGTAAGGTTTTTTCGTTGCGGAGTTTCTTAATTCGGTCACCGCGCTCAAAGCCCGCAATAAAAGCTATAGAATAGCTTAATAATATGAATTTAGAATTTTTAGCCAAAAAAGAGAAAAATGGACTTGCATAGCCAGTATGGCAGAACGTCAAATTAACATTTTTTTTATTCTGGTATACTGTAAGTACGAGATAGCGGGCCTCTGTACTGACTATCTCACTGTGCTCGCTGGGTTTGCCCTCCTTGCAATTGAGAGCGTGAAATCAACTTTAATCCGGCATTTCACATGGCTATTCGTATTTGCAATTTGTAAACGACAATATTTCTCTTCTTTTCACTCCTTAGACGTCTAAGTTTCACTCATAAAACACAGCTTGCTGTCAAAAATGACAGACAGCAAATACTATTAACCATGTGAAGTGCCAGCTGAAGTCCAAACTCAAATGTCCATGACGGAATGAATCAAAGTGAAAGTGAAATACTAGAGATTTATTTACAAAAGTTCATCTAAAAGGCACAGCACAGAATAAACTCATAGTTAGTTTTTGGTTTCTAACAACAATCATTTTATAATCTTTTTCGCAAGTGTAGAAAAAAAAAATTATTGTTCTAAAACTTTATTTAATCAACGACCTTCAAAAGTGACCTTTTATTTAGTCAATAGAAGAGTGCGCATGCGTAAAATTACTTTTTTGTGTGAATCAAATAGTTTCGCGCGCTGATAAGCTAACGCCGACGTTGTTGATCACGATGAATTTATTTTTTTTAGTCGGCAAACAGATATTACACATTCCTGACGTACTACTTAGCCGAGTCATTTGTAATTCTTATAGCATCAATAATGTCTTGTGAAGAATTAACCTCTAAAATGAAAATGGCTCGACAAAATGGTATTGTGCAACCCTTACTCACTGGTGAGTACTTTTAACAGTAACAGCAAATTTGGAGCGAATTTTAGATTACAATATCAAGAGCTTGTAATTGTTTTCTGCCAGCTTTTTCTACCCACATGCATAAAATTTATATTGTACGAAAGTGATATCATAAATTCCTCTCTTCCATATGAGCCGGTTTAAAATGTTCATAATTTGTTTAATCAATGGTAAGCCAAAAATAGTTCCTAAAACTATTCTGTTTTGTTTGAAATTATTTTTGTGATAGTGAACTTTTTACTGTGTAAACTTTTACATTCAAAAATATTATTTAAAACTTAGTATACAATTGATGGGCCTGACTGGCATATTCTTTTAACTTTATAATTATATTTGACATGTCTCTCCATTTCATTCTCTTTATAGCATTGTCAGGACATACTGTGGTTACATTTATTTTATAATTTAGAGAATCATGCTCAAATCATGCCCATGTGCTAACTAAAATATATGTTTAAGACTATGTTTAGAAATATATATGGCAGGACCTCTATAATCTGTACCCCTTCGAATCTGAACATCCCACATTTGCCATATTCCTTTGCCAGAAAAAATGCTTATATGTAAGTATAGATACAAAATATTTTAATTTGTCATAAAATATGACCCAACATACTAAAATATTGGATTTCTTTAAATAACTTTAATAAATGTAAAATTTATAGATGAATATACATTTCAAATGTCAATATAGTATTAGTTTTGTTTCATAAATAATACCCTGATAATGTAAATTCTTTGTACTTATCCAAATGCTCAACAATCCAAACAGTGACTAAATTTTCAGAGTTTAGGTAAAGAGATCCTGCTATAATTAAAATAACATTCTAGATTTGTTAAATTATTAGAGATTTTAATAAACACAAAATAAATCTATGTATGTACTCCTTCAATCAATATTCCAAAACCACTTTTCAAAATGGGTTGACTTAATATATGTATCTGTATTGTATATATGTAATTTTCTCATTAAGTAGGTCATACAAGAAGTTTGTACGGGTAAAACTGTACTTCCAGGGCCCCAAAGGTGATATTTGTTTTCTTTTTGTAGAAAAGGTATTTTTTAACAGTTTTTTTTTTGCCCTGGAAGTACAGTTTAGCCTTTGTATGGTTTATTAAAGGTAGAAATAAAACTGTTACAAAACTAGGTATAAACTTAACTTAAAAACATGTAGTCCAGTCAATTAATATATTTATTATTATGAAATACCTTTTAACTTACTCTAATATGGGTTGAAAACTTATTGTTTGCATATGCATGTAACTCAGATAAGCCTCATTTTATATTCATATTAACTATTACTTTAAAGTTGTCCTTCCATCAATATTTGTTGATTTTGATGGAGGGACAACTTTCCTTATTGGGAAGTAATCAATCAAGATTTTTTTATTACGTAAAATTCTTTTTGCTGCTTGTGTTTTTAAAGTTTAGAAAAGTAATGTAGACAAAATATTTCTTATATCTTGAGATGATTGATTTTATGTAAGTAGAGATACCATATATTTTAATTTGTCATAAAATATCACCCAACAAACTAAAATATTGGATTTCTTTAAATAACTTTAATAAATGTAAAGTTAATAGATGAATATACATTTCAAATGTTAATATATGCATATTCCCTACATGCTTATAAAAACATGCATATTCCCTATTGTGCCGAAATCAATTAATTTACAATCACTACCACAAAATAGGTCTATATTTTACGAATTTTGCTGCTGGATTGATAATAATATCTTTTTTGTCAGTTTTGACTGAATTGAATTTCAATCTAAGTAAAGCCCGCAACAAACAGTTTAAAATTTAGGGTGGCTAAGAAGGTCGAATATGCAGGTAATAAACTAAAAAGAACTGTTGGGGCTATGCCACATTGTCGCAGTATTTATTTAGAATTACTCACCACATACCTAAAATCACGTGTATTTTTGGAACAAACTCCCTTTTCTGACAGTATGGTGGATTAGGTTGAATCCACTCTAGGCCCAATCTGCAGTAGGCAAAAACTGTTCTGGACCCAATCTTCACTGGGCCTAAACCGCTCTAGATCTAATCTGTACTGGGCACAATCACTTGGATCCGGATACCATACAGTGCATTTATAGATGAATAAATTTAATGGCTGTTTGGTTTAGAAAGACGTGACGACGACAACGGTTTATATGATTTTTTGATTCTGTGATTTTTCGTGATGTTTTCCAAACCCCATTTCGAGCCGTACGTGATAAATAGATGATCCTATAAGATAATTTAAAGTTCAACCCATTACAAAAGATGCTTTGGGCGTTTCGCCCCAGTCCAAGTTTGCAATGCCAAACAACCCAGTCTATGATGATGGAAATTGTTCTATTTTAGAAATCATTTCTTAGAATAATTTTAGTAACTTATTTGAAATATCTAAAAGTGTAATCATTCTTTTCAGATCTATATCAAATCACAATGGCTTATGCATATTGGAAATCAGGAAAAGTAAATGATGTAGCAGTTTTTGATTTGTTTTTTCGGACCAACCCATTCCAGGGTGAATTCACTATATTTGCTGGACTTGAAGAATGTCTGAAGTTTTTAGTAAACTTTCATTATTCAGACAGTGGTATGTTACAATATTTGGTTAAGTTTATTGTTTTGCCCAAAAAAAAAGTAAATTTGTAAAAATTTTAAAATAAAATATTAATAACCATACACTATTTCAGATATTGAGTATCTGAAACAAACATTACCAGATAACATTGAGCCTGAATTTTTTGCATATCTCAAGGATTTAACTTGTAAAGACATAAAATTAAGTGCTATTGAAGAAGGCTCTGTTGTTTTTCCTAGGTAAGGAATATTTGGTCACAGTTTTTATATTTGACTCTTTTGTCAAGTCAATTTTATCTCACTCAATTTGTTTCAGAGTACCCTTGTTAAGAGTGGAAGGTCCATTAATAATCGCTCAATTAATAGAGACGACCTTATTGACCCTGGTTAACTTTGCAAGGTAAGCTAGTGATATAATCATGACGAAAAATAAATTAGTCGATTTCTATTCATTCAACACATTTGTATTGTACGGACAGCCACAGGCCAAGTTATCTAAAATTGTTTTTTTTTTCAAACGGATATACAACTATATAGTGCTTGCTTTAAAAATGCGAAAGTAACACTGATACATTTTAACATCAAGGTAGCCCCCAAGTTAGTTCATTAAAGAGGTGATTTAATAGTCTACTTAAAATAGCTATTTTCGCATTTAAAGTTGCTGGCTTGGCTTCATAGGATTTAAATTTGCAAATGCATTGAGTGAGATGATGAGATCGTTTATCATGGAAGCAGAGATGGAAGATACACTGATATAAAGAGGAAAGCTTTGATCCGAAAGCAGTGCTGAATATGACAGAGAGAGTACTAAGAAAAATGAATGCAATGAAGATGCGAGCGATATATTCGATGTGTCCTATGTATAAGGGCCAAAGTAGCATTTTGTTCATTTTGGCTTTTTGTTGGTAAATGGCTCGCTTTTAGTCTAATAAATGATATTAATAAAAAAAAACAACGATATTAAATACCCTACATACATCCGCCGAAACCTGTCCAAAAGGTACATTAGACGATCCATGGAGCCCCGTAAGATAATCGCACAGTCTAAACAATATAAAGTCGTTATTTAAAAATTGAAAATCACCATTAAAGTACACTATATAAGGTCTTAATCAAAGCACATGCGTCAAAGAGTTATGACAGTCGGAGATGTAAGCTCGAAATATTTTACGACTTATTGCTATATTCGGAAGAATATAGACCTTATTTCTTTGACTCTACGCGCAATTCTGAATGCGCTGTTAGCAATACAGCAGATACGGACCGCGAGGAAAGAGACAAGGTTATATTACCGCCCTTGCATTTGAATATCAAAAATATTTTTTATTAAACCAGTATATAGTAAGTATTAAAACAAAATTTGCTTCAAATCCGTTAAATTAACAAACATTGGTGAGATATCTGACGAAAAAACGTCATTTTACATATTATAAGTATTCATTCCGCATTTTTTCACGGAGCTCAGCGGCATGTTGACTTTTCAACGGTCCGCGTATGACTGTGAACCAAGAAGTGCTTGAGTCGTGTTCAAGCACTTCTTGATAGGGACACATTTTGAGTGCACGTGGTGTATCTAGGGTATTAAATATCGTTGAAAAAAGCCCCAAATTTATTGTTACAATCACGGTATTTTGATGCAGTAAAAGCACACTTTAAACATGTAAGGGCTCAACCAGTAGTTCTAGAGTATAAATGAACGGAGTCGAGTTCGCTCATATTCGAGTGGATTTCCTTTTGTTTACCCGAAATGGTCTTACAGCCCGTATTTCAGTATAAATATTGCTTCGGGTGCCCGAATTTGAGAAATGCCTTTTATGCACCCGAATAGGGGCAAAAGAATGTAATTGCGGCATTAGATATAAATAAACACTGACAACGCTTATCCTATATTATGGAGCGATAAGACTGGCATTTCTGATGCAATGCTCTCAACTTAGATGACCTTATTATTTTATTCAAAACTATGATTTGTTTGTGACTTTCCACTTGACCCAGGCTATTCTTAAGTGAAATTTGTTTTGTCTTGCGCGTACGAGAAGTCTAGCAAGCCACGTTTTTTGATATTTTTCTATCGCTCTAAGTTCAGTTCTAAATATATTTTTTATCAAGTAGGTTGTAGTCAAAGTCTTACTACAACGTAAAAAACTGTGTAAATCAATAATTTAGCCATGCATTGTATGTAATCGGTTTTCAGACTGCACACGCCACTGCTTCCATTAATTAATAATTTTATGACTCATGTTAATTTACATAATCTATAGAAAAGCTGATAGATGGCTCACCTACCAGAAAATTTATAAATATTTATAAGATAACTTTGTTGGGCGATTCTGCAGATCCTCATCCCCTATTATCGTCATCTAGGGATTCTTGAGCCTTATTTGAGCTTGGAAATTAGAGCAATTATGAAAACTACCTACATCAAGATAGGATTGGATGACAATGCTTGTCATTTTCATATTCCTCGAAAGAGGGTCTTTTCATTAATAAATTCTCCTAGGTTTTGATAATGGTAGGGGAGCCCAAGCCGGGATTTTGGGGTTTACTCAAGCGCGGCAGAATAATATAAGGGGGCACTTTGCACTTTGTGAAGTAGGTACTCCCACCATTCCTAATTACTTTATATGTATAGAGTATCCATGCATCCATATAATCACATTTTTAATATAAGTAGGATGATGTTCGTTCCTCATTAAAATCTTAAATATTTTTGTTTTAGCTTAATGGCGACTAACGCCGCGCGATACAGGATGGTGGCTGGCAAAAACGTGTCACTGCTGGAGTTCGGATTACGCAGGGCACAAGGGCCCGATGGTGGACTCTCTGCGTCAAAATATGCATACATTGGTAACCATATTCATATATCTTATCTAGACACAACTGAATTCAATCGTCTATTGCACGTTGTTTGAGTATATAACTATTTTGTTCATTGTGATTTCTAAAAAGTTTTATCAGATTTTCAGTCCATTACATCTTTTAATACCCTATAGTTAGGCAGCTGTAGTTAAGATAAATGCTACCATGTTAATAATTATCTGACGTTGAACCCTTTTACTGGACTCGAGCGTAACCTTAGGGTTCCATGCTGGGACCGGTCCTCTTTATGGTATACCCATCAGACCTACCTCAGATATCGTCAATTTTGTGTAGAAAGGCGCTAATAAGCCATTTTTCGGCAATATTTTCATAGTAAAAAACAGTATTAAATGTCTATTTGAAGTAACACACGGTTATTATGCTAAAGAATATAGTACAACTATGTCCAGCCATCAGGCATACAAACATAAAATTAACAACGGGACTTTAAATTATGCTACATTAAAAAAAAGCGGCCAAGTGCGAGTCGGACTCGCCCATGAAGGGTTCAGTATCAGCAAGTAACATAATTTAAAACCTGCCCCCCACACGCTCTGCACCCGCTACCGTTCAAGCCACGCCCCGCGCGAATTATAATTATTATTTACTTAGGCACCTATTACAGATTTATTATTAGAAAATAATGGTTCACGGTTTATGCATAACGTTTATGTTTATGAAATTAAAAGTTTTTTTTATTATATTTGAGTTGATTGAATGAAAGGTAAATAGCTGTTTACGATTTATGACGTATTAAAAAAAACTACTTACTAGATCTTGTTCAAACCAATTTTCGGTGGAAGTTAGTATTGTAATGTACATCATATTTTTTTTAGTTTTATCATTCTCTTATTTGAGAAGTTACAGGGGGGGGGGGGGGGCACATTTTACCACTTTGGAAGTGTCTCTCGCGTAAACTATTCAGTTTAGAAAAAAAAATATATTGGAAACAATTTTTTTTTATTGGAAACAATTATTTTCAAATTTATAATGGTTATAATTTAACAAATTCAAAAAGGTTATTATTTAACTTTACCAATAGTGCTTCTTCTAATATGTACAAACTAGTCAATGTTAATATATTGTATTTTTTGAAATATGGCTTACTAGATGTCATTCTGTCTAAATAGAACATTGATCGTATAATTTTTTTCTGAGCTTTGAATGTTTATTCTTTATTTGTAGAATTGTCTCAAAACACTATCCCATACCTAAGTTTAGTTGCTATGAAACCGTGGTAAGCTGATAAAAGTGCTTGCTCATTTCGAACTAATCTGTATTAACGGCGAAAATGTATTACCCTGAGAACCATGAAAATCACAATGCGTATAATGGCGGATATCACATACTTGTTACGAATTAAGGTCTAATGTGGCATTTTCGCCTTTACAATTTTCATCAGCGTATAGTTTCGAAAAATGACTTATTCGCCCTTTCTACAGAATATTGACGATATATCAAGACCGCTACTTATGCCGTTAATGAAGCGATATTATCGAGTTGTAATAAAGCGCACGTAGTTTCAGTCAAATTCCAAAATTGGACATGGCTTATGAATTGCTAATTAATCAACAAAAATTTAATTATTATTGTTTTCAATGGTTGTTATAAAGTACATTTAGTAAAAAATGCTTAAAACTAATAATAAAATTATTGATAAATTGATAGTTTAGTAGTGATGCCAATCCTAAATTGTCAACTATACTGCTAAATTATAGTCTACGTAGGTCAAGCTATTCTGTTTCACTCCCAATCCTGAAAACAAAATTTAGTTCCTAATATAGGTAGGTACTCGCACTTGTAAGTAATCCCTAACGATCATCAAGCATAAGCCTAATTCAATTTCCGTGTAAAAGCACTTTCTTTTGTAACTGTATGGTTAACTTGTTTGTGTTATTATTATTGATTGTACGCGCGGGACACCGCAGCCCCGCAGGTGGCGCGATCTCCTCGTGCCAGGCACCATCCAAACCAGTGCGATATAACACCGCACCACTGACTCATAAAAACCTTCCAATAGCTAGAATACACTTTTATTTAATAGCTTTAATCAGGCAATTTCGCCCGCGCCCTTGAAAGATCACTCTGTCGGATTTGCCTTTGCTTATCGAACTTAGTTTTGAATTTCTGCGAAAAGTTCGGCCTTCGTGGATGGTACCACTACCTAAATCGAGCATTCGATATGCATGTCTATACTGGTTATGTTTTCTAAAACAACCGATTCAGACAATGTAGTAACCTGCCTGTGGCACCATGGCATGTACCTATGGATGAAAGGTGCTGGGATTAATGTTTTCTACAGACTGAAAATTTAGTAATAGATAAGAAATAGGCTACTTGACACTTTTTAGAAATATGATTTATATGGTTAATAATTGTTCTATTAGACCGAAAAAAATGTATTGTATTTTTTTTTGACCTAGAAAGCCACAAAACTTCAATTTTAAAATAGACTTCATGGATATACAAAAACGCTGTCGGCCATTTTAGTCTATAGATTGTTTAGCTATGACGTCAACAAAATCGTAAACAAACATTCCGAAGCACGTAGGAAATAACCTGAAAATAAATTTATATTATAAAACCATAATTTCCAATAGATTTCATGATAAATATAATAATTGTTATGATTGTATTATACGACAATTTAGAAACACATCGTTAAAGACTCCAGAAAAGTTGTGGTTTAAAGGAGATTGCTCAGCTTCCATACATGTTTGGCCTAAAGACCAATAATCATGAAAATTTGTTTCCTAGATTCGAAATTATATATAAATTACTGTAGAAACGAATATTATTGACGGACACCCCTGAGAACTTCTATAAACCATATACACTGAACATATTAAAATAATAAAAAACAAATAAGTTATATAGTAAACTAGGGAAATCAAGCCAAGTACCGAAATTATGTATTAGATTCAGGTATATAGAGCATGTAGATTAACAGATAGTTGCCTGTTTTTAAAGTTAATGCATAAGAGTAACTTTTAAAATCAGGTGTCATTTCCGGTTAAAATAAGGTACTCTGTGACAGAAACTGTGTGATGATTGTGAATGAGCCACAGATTAGAGAGAATTTTTAAACTCTCGTTAACCAAAGAAAACTAAGAGATTTAGGTTCTATAGCCATAATAATATATTCAGTAGCTTCATTATTTTTGTTATGTTTTTAAGATAACCATATTTTAGATTTTTAGTATATCACACCTTATAATTTTATTTATTTATTAATTTATAGTCAGGGAACGTAGGCCCATAGATAGATACCTTAAAGTCTAACATATATACAGATTATAATGTGTTTATGGAGGTGTTTGACGAAAAATGCATGGCAATAGACTTTATGATGTCGCCTACCATCTATAATAATTGTCTGAGCACATTTATATCTAGTGAAAATTATAATATAGTTGTGGATATTAATACCACAGTGTAATAAAAAAAATGATTTATTTTATCGATCTTTACAAAATAGATTTGTTTTTATGTTATATAAACAACTTCGATCAGTCTTTGGCTGAATGTTACTACACCCATAGCCATTAAAAATGATTCGTATGTTTTCCAAACCGGTAAAATTAAAAGTCCCTTTTAAAGTAAATATATTATACAAAGGTGTCCGTTGAAATCTAATGACTGTAAATTAAATTATAAATTACGCCAAGAATTACCGTGTATGTCAATATTTTTTGTGCATTTAGGCCAATTTGAGCAATCTCCTTTCTAGAGAAATACCTACCTACCTAATACCTACACATGGACACAGTTATGTTCAAAACTTGCTAAATCCTGTAATTTTACCGTCTGAAAGTCTTGTAGCAAAGTTCACTTTAATGTGAGTACTCATTGACTAATATATAAAGTATAAAAATACAATTTTTAAGGTTATGAAAGTTTAGCCTACTAAGTTAAAGAGTTTTGTCGTTTCTGCTTTCACAAATCCGACGTCCAGCATAAATTTAGTCAACAAAACTAATAAACGGATTTTTTTCTACAAGATGTAAGTATTTTTAGATATATTTGAGTCCGACGAAAGACACTACAGTAGTGTTACTGTCGTGTGACAGTGACGTTTAGTTGTTTACTAACACATTTACTAACTTGTTGACGTCACAATCATGGTGGACAGCATTATAAGTGTTTAAAAAGCATAAACTAAAAACCATTTTTCAAAATAAATTACTACAGCCATCCTCTAATTTTAGGAAGTGAAATCGATGTATTTAGGTTCCTCTAGAGATGGATGGGCAGTGGGAAAAAAACCAGGTTTTTTCCCATTTGGGAAACAACCGGGTATTTATGTGGGAAAAAACCCAATAGACGGGTATTTTCATTATTAAACATAATTATCACGATCTTAAAAAAAAATGTGTGTGTCAGCTGCGACACACGACTGGAGTTCACTTATAATTAATTTTTTATTTAAAATATAATATTATCTTAATAATTAACAAAAATGGTTATAAAAAGATAATTATGTCACTAAATATTTTACGTACAATAATAAATAGTACATGAAAATAAGACACATGGACGTTCGTAGATACGTGGTTCACGAATCTTGAAAATACCGCATCAATGGTTGTACCATACCTCGTTGTCCCCATTGCTCTATCAGAAACAATATCTAAAGTCAGTTCAGATTTTTAAAAAAATATTAATGTCAATCCGTCATCTTTGTTTGTCAAAGTTGCGCGACATAGGATGCGCACCAAAAACGTAACGAGGTCATTCATCGATAGATTTTACTCCTCACATTTTTCTCATACCGGGCCCCTTATATATGCAAATCGATTTTTAAGGAGTAAACTCCAAAATTTTATTTTTTATTTTTAGAACAAATGTAGCGAAAAATAGGTACTTTGCAGTGGCGAAGCCTCCTTAGAACACGATTCCTGCCGGCTTACCTTGCCAGACTCTAATATTTTTACATTCAAGCACAAGCGAACATTGACGTATACGTTAATGCAAGCGACATAATTACATTGCGCGCTTTGTAAAAAATATTCTTTAATATGCTGGATACAAAATACGCAATGCATTTGATATCGCGCATACGCACACAGATCCGCGCAGTAGTAGGCTGGATAAGCAGCTTATCATATTGGGACTTCAAATAAATAAAATGTAAGCACTTCACGCACAAATACAGATTACTACCACATGCAACCAATCGTCGATATAACAGCGATATAACCCGATCTTAGATAGCCTGCAATCTTTATTTGTCATGTGTTAAGGCTCCGTTTAGCTTGAAGTTTTCGGCCAATCGCAGACACCTGGCGCTCGGTTCTGTTGACCTGACGTAGTGAGGCCATTACTGCGCGCGCATTCGCATGGACGGATTCGAAAGCTAATTTATCTATTGTGATAAGTGATTAGCTTGATTGTGGTATATATGTAGTTTAACAGAATCGGAAGTAGTGCCAAGTGTTGCGTATAGTGTTTGTTTTAATTCACCGTAAAGGTTTGTTTGCTTTTTTTTGTTTCTTGCCGTCACGTAGGAGTGGTGGCATTAGTACAAATAGATTGTTGTCTCACAGATTTCCTATTAAATGAGTTAACTTTATTCTCAAAACATTCGTTCGAAAATAAAACGTGGCCATGGCCTTCGGCTCTGTCTACCCCGTAAATCCCTTACTAACGTGATACTATGTATGTACGTAGAATAGAAATAAATTAGCGGTATTTCTGCTGGTTTTTATTTGTGATGATGCTGCTGGCAAGTTTCCCTTATTTTGGTTCTTTGCTTTTCTATATATTTATTTATAATCTGTGTATGAGTGACGTGTGCTTTATATGGTTTCTTGAACGCCACTTTTATCATAATCGACATGGACTGTTCATATAATACCAGTGATGTCATGTATGGTGAAGGTGGTGAACACTAACAACTATACAGCAAGCATGAAAAAACTGCATACAACGCAACGCTAGCACCATACCTAACATTTCGTTGTAATTTTGGGCAACAAAATCCCAGTCGTCAATTAAACCAACATATTAACACAAGTGCGCACAGTACGAAGCCAAAATAACGTGTAAGATAGATAGATCCCCAACGCGTACGCCACTACGCCACTGCTACTACCTGCCAACGTATAAAAATAAAAATAACGTTCCCGTCTTCACTGTTATCTATTGCTTCTCTTAATAATTAAATAATAATAATAAATGTTCTGACAGATGTTTATAGAAATCGATTGTTTCCAGGCGGTTTCGACGGAACAAGCAACGTATTGGCTGGAAAATTCTTCGACATACCAGTGAAAGGGACGCATGCACATTCTTTCGTGACCTCATTCAGCAGTCTGGACGACATACATTCAGTGACGTTGAGGCACGCGGAAACGGAGGTCCCATACAATTTACTGGAGCTCTCAACCGAGTGGAGGAAACGAGTATCAGCCATCGTTGATATCTCGCCCGAAGAGGCCAGCGACGGCGAACTAGCCGCACTTATTTCATACGCCATAGCCTTCCCAACAGGTTTCCTGGCACTAGTGGATACTTACGATGTGAAGAGGTATAATATTCAAGGCTTACCGTCACGACACAGGCAGCATATGAATGGGCATTCTGGCTACAATAGCAACTGTGGATCCAATGATACTAGACTACTAAAATCACCGATACATAGTACATATGGATATAGCACGGTCGAACGCACACTGAGGTAAAGATGGCAAATAGACAATTCACATTGACATTTTGGTGTCTGATAAACCTTTGTATTGTTGTTTTGCATTGTTCATTTATGTCTAAGTTTTGTGGAGTTTCGGTTATTAGATTTATTTGAGATGCTGGCATGCGTCCGGTTCATTCTACATAATCATTGTCGGGACGGGCATGAATAACTCTCATTGGGAGCCACTTCGACGATGGTAGCACAAACACACGCCGTTCCTTCGCAGCGGGCCGCTAACATGTTCATGGCCGTAGTGCGATGTGTCGTTTGGCTTTTGTTTTCTATTGATACGCATACAGACGGCGTTTCAAGTTCAAACAAATGTAAATAAACAAGAAAAAATACATAACACAAAACAGGGAACTTACATTTGCTTCAGTGTGACGTGTTGTCCTGAACCTATGACCAGTAAATAGGGACAATTTTAGTCATTGGGCACAGTTGCGTTGTATAGGGAAAGCACATCTCACAGAAATTTATAATGTAAATTGCATGCACAAACATTCATTATACCTACATAAACGGTACACTCACTTTTTATTGATTTTCACTGTAGTTATCAATTTTGAGTTCGTTTATTATTTCTTACAGCTTTTAGGTGTGTAGAAGTAGTTTATTTTCTTTAAATTATAGTAATCTTAGATAAACTTAGTATTTAGACTTATTGCAACATGTGCCGTCACAATAATAATAATTCACTATAACGATATAGTGCAACCTTTTTAATATAAGATGAACTTATAGTTAATCTGTTACACACGATGGCGTTACAAAGTAGAAGTAAATTTAGTCATGCATAGGTAAACTATCTTAATTAAGTATTTTGGAAGTAATTAACAAGTTAGTTTGCCTGTGTAATATTTCATTCCCAAATAAACACTGTGGCACTATCTGTAGGTAGTGATAGTGATACAGTAATTGTTTACTAAGATTAAGAAAAAAATATGTGGGTTGGTTTTAAGTGAAAATCTGAATCCGACCAGTTTCTTTTTATTCAAAAAAGTGCAATGACATTGATTTTTTATTGAAGTGGCGGGTCCCCGATATTTCAGCACTGTTTCAATTGCTCTGTGATAAAAGCACTTGCACAAAATATCGCAGATTCACAAGTGTTTCGTGATCATGGCACGTGCAACAGTGCCAAGATGTCGGGGGCTAGCAAACGCTTCGTGATCATAGAATTTGCAACAATGCCGAAATATCGAAGGCTCGCAAGTGCTCTGCTGATCATGGCAGTGCCGAAATATCGGGAGCTTGTAAGTGCTTCTTGATCATGGCACTTGGAACAGTACCATAATATCGGGAGCTTGCATATGCTCCGTGATCTTGGCACTTGCAGCAGTGCCGAAATATCGGGGGTTGGCAAGTGCTATGTGATCATGGCACTTGCAATAGTGCCGAAATATCGAGAAGTCACAAAAAAACTGAATAATTATATGGTAACAATCCCGTTAATAACAAATTACTATAATTTCTGTGTGTGTATTGTCGCTATAACAATCAATACTAAGATATGGGGGTTATAAATAAATATATTGCTTGACCTTAACTGTCAATGTGTTTCAAATATTAAACCTGCGGATAGAAATTCTATGTTCGACTCGCTCGCAGCCGTTTTCCTTACAAATTGTAAAGAAGTTGATTGTTTTATAGACTTAAAAATAATGAATGAGTACAATAGCACATAAGCAAATATCATCATGTACGTTAAGACTAACCCACATTTCAAAAAATGCTATCGAACTATTATTTCACTACAACTAACAAGTTTGATTGTTCAAGCATGACTTTATTTATCACATAGTTGAATAATACTGGTAAGAAAGAACGAAATATAAACTTTCCTCAGGGTCCATGAGTCTTCAAAAAATATTGCATTTATCATTTAATTTACTTTATGTACTGCACGAAGACCTACTTATCAAAGATATGAGAATTCTCAATTCTTAAAATCGAAGTATAGTTAAATGAATGTTATTTCATTAATCATGTCTGACAACGATTTGAGCTCGGTTATTTTTTCCCAAACGAAAAGCTCTTCCTATTTATAACGTGAAATATATCAACAATCACATGCTTAAAAGCTGCTATTAAAATGCTCAAACGATTCACATATTCATTGCCTTGGATTTAGACATTAGCGATTATTATCGCCAGAATATATTATGTGATATAGTTAATTTCAAAATGCCTATTTTCACTTATTTTTCGATACAATATACTGAAACAATATTTTGCTCACGTTGCCGTTGTTACCAAGACAGTATTATTAAAAAAGGCATTTGTAAGAACAATTTATCTGTTGGGCTCATTGGAAGTAAGTGAATAATATATATTTTCAACAGGAGTGGTTTACTCAACTTCTGCGCTGTGGCCTTAGCATTGAATGACTGCGGATACAGAGCGGTTGGCATCCGCATAGACAGTGGAGATTTGGCGTATTTGTCAGTGCTGGCAAGAGAATCGTTTGATCAAATCGCTGAGGCCTTCAAACTACCCTGGTTCTCTAAACTAACAATCGTGGCCTCGAATGATATCAATGAAGAAACGATATTGAGCTTGAATGAACAGGGCCACAAGATAGACTGTTTTGGTATTGGAACACATTTAGGTAAAATAAATTATTGTTTCGATTACGAATATTTAGTTTGATACAAACTTCAGATTGATACATTTTTGTACAAATAAATTATTTACTATTTAATATTGGGCCGATGCAAAGTTTGATTGTATTTTTGAATCATTACCAATTTGCCTTCTTTTGTGATACAATACTACAACAGGTGGGACAAAGTAAACTAGACATAGACATGCCTTCAAAGCATATAATCAATAAACATACAATAAAATGGTAGGAAAGGCAAAACTGTACAATTAAATATTTTTTAAAAGAATACTTGGGGATTGTGATCTACAATCGATACCGAAGCCAAAAATATAGTTTTTAGAATTATTGTCTGTATGTATGTTCGGGATAAACTCAAAAAGTTCTGCATGGCTTTACTTCAAATTTGGCACGAATATAATTAAGAAGTCGGGTCAACATATAGGATACATATTATCACGCTACCACCTACGGGGAACGAGCAGTGAACCTTTATTGCTAACTTTCTCCACGCGTACGAAGTCGCGGGCAGCCGATAGTTGTTTTATAAAACTGCAACTTCTAAGCACAACAGATATCAAGAATATAAACTATAATGCGATAATAAATACTCTTACGTACAGTGATAACCTAGCATTTATGTTATCGATGGTTTCCGTGTCTTTTATTTAATCATGTGATATATACATATTGTCATAAGGTTTTGCCTGTTTCATTTTATCGATACTCGCGTTATACCGGCATTTCACTTGGCTATTTGTAATTTGTAAACATGACAACAGTACAGTATTTTTATCATGCTTTATAAGGAATGAAAAGGATAGACTGATATCAAGCTTACAAATAGCAAACACGAATAGCCAATTTAAGTGCCGGCATTATACAGAATTAATTCATCATTAATTGAACTTTATATGATGACATTTGGCTGAGATCTAAAGAATCTGTGCGATTGTTGTTGTTAAAAAACATCCGATGAATTAAAACTCGCCTGCTTTTCTGAAGTCGGTCGATAAAAGGAAATATTTTCATTTTAGAGTTTCTCCAACAAAGAACTTAATACAAAGTCGCTCGAGAATTTAGAATATTATAATGGCTTACATACTTTTTCTTCAAAGTCATACATTTTTACGCCACTTCAATTCATTTATGGACATCTGCCATTGTACTTTTCATGGTTGATTTCATGAGACAAAAAGAATTGAGATAACTGCTACATATTATGTAGTACTATAAAAATATAAAAGTGAAATTTATATGGGTAACACTGTTTTAATGAGCCAAAACTCTGTCTTTAAGCCACGGATATTGACGAGTTTCGAACTCCACCCTTGATTCCCAGTCAACACTTAAGGCTATTAAGTTACATTACGATAAGTAAATCTTGTAGGGTTGGAAGTGCGCATTAAACTTTTCACAAAATAATAAAGTTGTCTACCGCGCTGCTAAAAGGCTATCTTCAAACCGCCCAAAATAAGTCGGTTGTACGTTTCATTTGCTATTTGACTACGAAGTGTAATAATTTTGAACTTTATGTCAAACACATTCTCCCTTACTACAAGACGTGGCCTAAAGTAAGTCTTGGTTTAAACCTAATGTTATCTTTGTCTTCCTTTCAGCAAACAAAAGTGACATAATGTTGTCCTGGTGATTTCGTCCTGATTTAACTTTAGTCTACGTTTGTACTAAGGCTGAGAAAGTTTATAAATCAATTGGAATAATTATAAGGTTACAACTTGACGCGCTATAGATTACTTTAAATATATAATTTTTCTTTCAGTCACTTGCCAACGTCAGCCAGCTCTTGGATGTGTGTACAAATTGGTGGAAATAAATGGACAACCGCGCATTAAACTGAGTCAAGATGTAGGAAAAGTCACTATACCGGGTCACAAAGAGGTAAAATTTTAATTATACTCATTTTTAAAGAAAGAGCTGAGTTACAAGTAATAATAATAAGTTTAGGACTGGATTTATTTTATTTTTACAAAAGAATAGCGAATATAGCCTATGTTCTAAAGTGCACACATAAGTGCTGAGCTGCATCTATAAGCCTAAAGGCAGTGGAAATAACATTCACTTTGCGATGTGATGTACAGTAAATAACAAATTAAGTTTGCTCAAAGTATCTTGCTATGCTAAGTAAGCTTGATAAAGCTCAGAGAGTTTTATTACATATATATTTAGCCAGTCAGTTAGATTATCAAAAAATAATAAACCAAAAATTTACAGAGATAAAGCGCGTCACAGTTTGGGCTCGTGACGTCACTTCTATGTAAACATTGTACCAAGGCGTGCGACATTTCAAATTAATATTTCTCTGTAATGTGTTGATTTGTGAATAAAGAAAAAATGCTAGCGAACCTTACAGTAATTACCACGTAATTGCCTATGATGTGTAACATTTGAAACCTCATCTTATATTAGTAAAAAAAAAACCTACAAAAGGAATAAGCCATTTGAACATTATGTTCTAAAATCAAATCAAATAGCACGTGCTTTCGCGACTTCCTGTTACACACTTCCGTCCCATTTCACGAAATCACTCCCACAAATTGCAGGAAAGCGAGAGGAAAGATGTTACACATCAAAAATACTACTTATTAAATAAAGTTAGCATCGCTATTTCTCCTACGAATTTTTGTCGCACCAAAAAGATACATTATAATAATAATAAATAAATATTTCCAACACTCACACCAATTAGCCTAGCCCGAAATTAAGCACTGTATGCCTTGTATTATGGGATACTAGGGTAATGGATAGAATACATATATAGTACATATATATTTATATATAAATATAAAACATCCATGACTGGAGTACAAATGCTCGTATTCATCACACAAACATCTGTCTCCACCGGGATTCGAACCCGGGATCTCTCGGGTCGGCGACACCATGAAACCCGGCGTACAAACCACTCGGCCACGGAGGTCGTCAAAAAAAAAACTTTTAGAGAAAACTAATTATTTTTGTCACACAATTTCACATTTTTTCATTTCACACGAATTCGGTAGAGAACTCAAAGTTCACCTTATTATCAATATAAATAATGATACAGAATTAGTTTATGTTGAAATAATCTTGTGTAATTTGTAATATCTACAAGTATAATTTTAGGTCATTGTAAAACGATACCATTAATTAATTAGCTAGTCCAATAAATTTAATCTGTTCGTATACAAAGATAAAGTAAGAATTGAATAGTGTTTTTTATTACTTTGTTACGTTGCAAAATTAAGAATAAGAACTTTGATTACATAAATATAGACTATAGACTGACTATACGTAGTTATATTTTTTAAGCTAGTAACTGCTAGATGTTTAAATATACAGATACTGGTGTCAATTCTGGCGTGATTCTCTAAACTTAAAACTAAATTTAACATCAGTCTCTCCTTTTCATTCTGTATGGAGAATGACAAGGATACAACGTTGTTATATTTAAGTTTACATTTAGAGAATCGTGCCAGAATCGACACCACTGTCGTAGTTACAAATTTATCTTTGGGAAGAATTATTACGCCGATACTTCACTTGGCTATTCGAGGTTGCTATTTGAAAACTTGACATCAGTCTCTCCTTTTCATTCCTGATATAGTATGATAAAAACAGCTTGCTGTCAAAATGACAAATATCAAATACGATAAGCCATGTGAAGTGCCGGCATTATGTTGAAGCTATATATTTAATGCCGGCACTTTACGTGTTTGCTTTTTGTAAACTCAATCAGTAAAGTTATGATGATCAGTCTGTCATTTTCATTCTTTATAAAGCACTAGTGGCCCGCCCTCGCTTCGCTGCGGTGTAGAGCTGTAGTGTAGACTATAGTTTTTATTCTCAGGCTTGCATTATACACAATGACATTCTTCTAATATACCTAATTACAATAGGCACGCGCCGCCAGTCCCCCCGATCGGTAGTGTCGGAACCGCTATGTCCCTCCATTTTAAATCTGTAATATCTTCGAAAATATTCATTTAAATTACGTGCGTTAAAGAGCCAAATTCATCTATATTAAATGCACAATGTATTTAAGGTACTTAATTGGATAAGGATGAATGTTATATTGCTGAAAATCGCTTCGCTGAAATCTAGCTAAATATGCTATTATTTATCGTAAAAAGTATAGGATATACAGCATGATATGGACAGACTGTTGTCAAGTTTACAAATAGCCAAGTGTAGTACCGGCAGTTTTACATCAAATGTGATCTATTTTAACCATAGAGCAACGCGGCCGACGCGGCCAGGAGGGGAGTAGGCATTCACAGCGTTCCTCTCTGTCGATTTTCCCCCGCTGTTGGACCAGCTCAAAAACAAAATTAAGTTGCTCTTGGATATTTAACTAGACTAAGTCAAGTCGCACGAGTGTATGTTACAGATCAAAAATGCCTAATTTGCTGTAAAACATATCTGTTATATTAAACTTGATGGTGTTAAATTTCACATATAAGTATAGTATAAGTGTAGTAAGTTATTAGCATATTACCTATTTCTATTTAACCACTATTAAACACAAAATTCATATTACTTTGTTAAAATTCGATCGTCGGACCTGTTTGACAAAAAGATTGACTCGCCAGTACAAATTTCAGATCTGTCAATAAAAATCTCAAGTTTCATCTATATCTGATTTAGCGCTGTCATTTTTTATGCGTGAGTGGCGTTATTACAATTTCGTTTTTGGAAAAATATGTTGGACTACATTTGTGTACGCTTTCCTCCCCCCACAAAAACCGGCAGAATGATTTCGGTAGTATTATGTCATTATGGATGGCTGCACCCCTCCTAGCTGCGTCTGCTGTGTTGCACTATCTATGATTTCAAGTGTGCCATTAAAACGGTTATCAAATTTATGTCTAGACTAGCCGCTCTTTTTATCAAACGGAAGGATAAAGTTCGATCCTTTATATACCTTTTCTATGTAGTGTCCAGCCTTGTTTTACTAACCGACAGATACTTTCGATATATAGAAATAAACCCTTTCTCATAAATATGTGTACTTAATAGCTACTTATGTAATAGAAACACACTTTCATTGACTTATAGTCGCAGGTTATGAAGAAAAACTAAATAAATATTTAAAAATAGATGGATTGGTTTACACACGCAAGATAATAATGTAAGCAATTGTTTCTTACTATAGTTATCGGTTATATAGGATTGATAAAACAATTATGTCATATCAGCTACACAACAACGTCATTAGATATTTTTACGTTTTTTTAGGGTTCCGTAGCCAAATGGCAAAAACGGAGCCAGTTTGAATTCGTCATGTCTGTCTGTCTGTCTGTCCGTCCGTATGTCACAGCCACTTTTTTCCGAAACTATACTGTTGAAACTTGGTAAGTATTCTGTGAACAGCATTAAGATTTTCACACAAAAATAAAAAAAAATACAACAAGTTTTGGGGGTTGGGATACTCCATACTTAGAACTAAAACTCAAAAATTTTGTTTTCATCAAACCCATACGTGTGGGGAGGTGTCTATAGATAGGTCTTCAAAAATGAAGTTGCGGTTTCACATACCTTTTTTTTCTAAACTGAATAGTTTGCGCGAGAGAACACTTCCAATGTGGTAAAATACGTCCACCATACGTCATAAATCGTAAACTGCAATTTACCTTTCATTTAATCAACTGAAATATGTATAAAAAAACATAAACCTTGTGCATAAACCGTCTACCATTATTTTCTAATAATAAATCTGTAATACTGCCTAAGTAAATAATAAATTATTATATACCTGCAGGTTTGTACGGAACCCTCGTCGGTGCGCGAGTCCGACTCGCACTTTTTTTGTTTCTAAAACAAATAGAGAACTACGATTTCGTTCATTTAATCGGTTATTAAGAAAACCAGAGTTCTTAAAAGTGTTTAGTTGACTTTCGCTAAAAAAGTACTTAAAACTATGATTCTTCTTTTTGCTATCTCTCAATTGTAACATTTAGCATTGCTCAAGTTTAAGTTGTGATATGACTAAATAATGATAGCAACTGACTAAATCTAAACTTCGATTTGGTAAAATCGACCATAATCCGCCGTGTTAACTATCTCCTTAAATCGCAAATTGAAAATACTCGTAATTATGATAAGGCCACAGATTGCCATGCATACTCATTTGTACATTACACATACTCATAAAAAAATATGGTCATTTGAATTAACATTTTCATTTTCTTTGTTCTCAATAATGAAAAGTATATTACATAGTTTTATTTCAAGCATGTTTATCGAACACTAATAAACAATAAAAATATTGTCATTTGAATTACGATTTTCATTTTCTTTGTTCTCAATAATGAAAAGCATGTTACATAGTTTTATTTGAAGCAAGTTTATCGAACACAAATAAACAATAAAAAGATATGGTCATTTGAATTAAGATTTTCATTTTCTTTGTTCTCAATAATGAAAAGCATATTACATAGTTTTATTTCAAGCAAGTTTATCGATATATCTATGTACATATATATGGATAACTATGATGATAATAACTGATGTGAAAGACATAATAGTAATTATTTATTAGTTATTGCTTCAATAATATTATACAAAGTAACGTTTAAAAATGGACAAGATAATACAGGTTAGGTAGGTGGTATCACCAAATCGACATTGAAATATTGAACAAGTGTCCTTGTTCACATCACTCACATTCATATTATAACCCCTCATAACCAGTAATTGCATTCAATGTCCTCCAAGTGCATAGTAATTTGTATATATATTCAGACAATGACAAGCAAAGAAAGACTGCAATTTGATACGACATTTAATTAATGGATAATGAAATGGTACGTTTATAATCTCCAAGGTTGGTAAACTTGGTTTTTTAAATTATTTATTTAAAAAGATTATCAAAGAGTATTTGACACGATTTGTTTAGTTTTTTACATAATCAAAAGATTAGAGAGACACGTAAATTGATTTAAATTGTCGCGTGACGTCACGTTTTCGTACGATTCTAACTAAAAAGTGACGTGACGAGCCCTCACTACTGAAAAAGTAGCTTTGTTCCCTACTTAACAGAAATAAAGACAACTGGACTTGTGTTTTCTCTTCAGTTTTTATTTGAAGTAATATTTAAGCAGTCTGGTTTTTTGACTTTTTTAATGTACCTTTTTCTTTTCAGTTTTTTATTTGAAATAATATTTAGATTCTTTTAGATTAGAAACCCGACGTTTCACACTATTACTTATATACAATTATGCTACTGCGATCTATATGGCAGTGTCGAACTTTTTCTATTATTTCTTAGGCTGCCAGGTAGCACCATCTCTTCTCATCGTAGGCAACCCACAATATCAAACGAATACCTTTTAAGTATTAAACATTTGAAAAAAGAAATGGTAATTGTGTTTTTTTTAAAGTACTTTACTGCTTGATGTTTCAATCTAAAGAAAATGTTACTAGAGATTATAAGATTTAAACATCTAGCAGTTAAACGCTTAAAAAATATTCTCATGGTGTTTACCAGGCTTATCGATTATTCGGTGCGGACGGCCACGCCCTCATAGACTTGCTGCAAAGGTCCTCAGAGCCAGCGCCCGAGGTCGGCCAGAAGGTGCTCTGCCGGCATCCGTTTCAAGAGTCGAAGAGAGCTTACGTCATACCGAGTAAAGTGGAACACCTGTATAAGGTAATTTTATTTGTCAATATCATCGAAGTTATAGTAAGAACCTTGTTTATGACGAGTTTCCGATATTTCGGCACTGTTGCAAGCGGCATTACTCCGTGATTGTGGCGCTTGCAACAGTGCCGAAATATCGGAAACTCGTTAAAAACAAGGTACATGGTTAGTGACCATGACAGTTCAAAAAAATGTGTCAAAGATTTTTACAACTGATTTTGCGTTCTTTTATATGAGCTCCATCTGGGGAATTAACCTCTCTACCACTAAATTACTGAAGACAACAGTGTAATAACACGTTCAACAACATAAAAACAAATTTCCTTTCATTTCAACCAGAAATTTTAACTTTTAGTATGAAATAGACAATCTTAAAGTGTGAATAAGTATCCATGCACGTAACGTGTAGATAATAAACTTATGCTTAGAGCATATGTAATTGTAGACAAGAATATGCCCAAAATAAATAAAGTCGGTATAGTATATGTTTTGTCACTAGAACCACGATAAGCATTCTGTATGAGAAGCTAAAGACGTTGGGTAGAGCGATTGTGATACCTGAACCATAACCTTAAGTTCATTTAAAGCTATCTTTAATATAAATGAATCCCTTTTAAATATTATTTGCCTCGCTATCGTTTTTTAAGATTTCTAATAGGTATATACTTAGTAGAAGGTGCTTATGAAAAAAAGGTAATAAAAAATCAGAAATCCCGACTGAAAAGAAAAAGCAAGTCCAGTGGTCAAGACTTGTTTTTTTCTTCTCAGTTTTTATTTGAAGTAATATCAGTAGCAGGCGGGATTTAGATTTTTTTGAATTTACCTTTTTATTTCACACTTTTTAGTTAGGATTATAAGACGGTATATACTGCATTCTTGTTACTTCAGTAAGGGACTTAGTATTGCGGGAATTATTAAGTATCTTGCGGTAGTCTAAACGATTGATTTATTAAGACATATAGAGACCTTACCACTAGGGTCAAGACTACATATAGGCCTAAATTTTCGCAAAAATGTGTTAAGTTAAATCAAGTCGTTATCAATATTTCTAAAGCATGTAAATTTTATAGTTAACTAGTACTTATTCAAAGAGTCCTCTGTTGTTTATGTTGTTTTTAGTAGTTTAGGAGTAAAATAAAATTATTTATATTTATTATTCGTCGACTATCTACAATTGGCAGTGGCTGCAATGTCAACGTCCGGCTTTAAGATTGTGATATACACAAATGCAGTCATATCCTTGTCTCATAATTTGTTTTCCTACATATTTTTTTTTACTTTGTCACAATATAGCGCCACATAAATCGGTCCACTCGTTTGGTCTCTAGTGTGCCACAAAGCAACATACAATAGCAACGTACAGGCTGTTACAAAAATACAAATAAAGCTTGAAGGGCGTTGAAGTACATCATATAAGGAGTCTTCTCTAATTTCCTTAAATTTTTTGCATGAAGTTTTAACTTTTTATAAAAACAGTTATTTTTAATGATTAATAAAAATATCGATCATTTTAAGACACGTCACTAGTACGAGGATCATTAAAATAACTTACCCTGTGCGCGTCGCGCTTCGCGCTCTTGCATGCACAGTCCGGTAAAAAGGTGCGCATAAAATTTGAGAATTTAAAAAAACAACTCTATCTGGATTGCAGGCGGGTTTTGAATTTTAAAATAATTTTATCGGCAGGACAATGTCGGTCGGGTTTGCTAGTTTTCTGTATATAAAAGGCAACCGTAACTGACTGACCTATCAACGCACAGCTCAAACCACTGTAATTTGGCACACATATAGCTATTATGATAAAGGCGATCGGTTCACCAAGAAAGGACTTTCCAAAACTCGCCCGCTAAAGGACTAAAACGGAGTTTTTCCAAGTTAAAAATGAAAAACTCATGTTACCCTGCAGACGAAGTCGCGGGAATCCACTAGTAGTTTATAATTTATTTATTAAGCAAGTTCTCTTCTCCATCACTCTGGTTTTGTTTTTCTTTTGAACCTTAATTTGTACCCACAACGATGAACAGTGTATTATTTAAAATAACAGAGTATGCATTAAACTTTGTACCAGTACTTAGTTGGAATTTTAAGAGTCGTGTCAACATAACAATATAATTTAATTAGGTAATAATAATAAACTTGAGGAATCAACTTGTAAAGAATTTATAATCACTAAGAAATATATAATTTTATTGTAATATAAATATTTTAATTCGTTTTAATAGTATAATGGGGTAATCGAAACAAAAGCGCCTACTTTAGATTTATTTTGAATTCCCAATTTAGAGTCACTTATATCAAGTTTAATCTTATTTTTTAACACACTTTTATTAGTTTCACCTGTATGTTTGTAACTGACTCGTTTGGACTCGATTTTGACGCACTTCTGATTCTTGTATCATCATGAAACTTGGCAAATGTATGTAGATTAGATGACAACACAATATTTTGATACCACCGAGCTGGTCTGATGATGGGACTGGATAGTGGCTCGCTTTTATTAGTTTCACCTGTATGTTTGTTTGTATGTAACTGATTCGTTTGGACTCGATTTTGACGCACTTCTAATTCTTGTATCATCATGAAACTTGGCAAATATATGTAGATTAGATGACAATACAATATTATGGTACCACTGAGCTGGTCTGATGATGGGACTGGAAGGTGGTTGATGGAACCTCGGATTGCCCACTAGTAAACATATCGAGTTTGGGCTCATTAGATTCATCTAAACACATTCTGTTCATTTCTCCTAATGACGAGGACCTGATGATGGACTGGAAGGTGGCTGATGGACCTGGACTGCCTATTAGTAAACATATCGAGTTTGGGCTCATTAGATTCGTCCTTACATATTCTGTTCATTTTCCTGATGACGAGGATCTGATGATGGACTGGAAGGTGGCTGATGAACTCTGGACTGCCTACTAGTAAAAGAATCGAGTTTGGGCTCATGAGATTCATCTTAACATAATAAAACTTGGATAAATATATACATATATCTTTATTTCAACTTTGAACATGGCTTACTGTTAAGCCCTAATGAAGTAAACAGAGAGTATATTATGTTTATTTTTGACTTTTTATTGCAGTAAGTAAAAGCGTGATTTTAGTTTTTTAAACTATTAATTTATTTGAAGTAAGAGTTAAATTTATTACATTACAGTAAAATAAATGCCTACATAGTTTCTGCGCATACATGTTGCCATCAAAAACTTGTTTAAATCTTTTATTTAAAGCTTTTTTTTTAATTTTTGTTTAAAGCTTTACTACATATACATATATTATGGTTGTGTTCACTATGTAAAGTATTTTAAATTTACATGCTACTAGCGGCCGCCCACGACTTCGTACGCGTGGAGTAAGTTAGAAATAAGGGCTCAATGCTCTCTAATATTAGCCCATCGTTGGTTATTTAAGGAAACATAGTTTATAGTTTGAAGTCCGTTTATTGAGTGCAATAAAACATTACAATATAATTGAATTAATAATATTGCTTACTTGCTAAAACTATCTACGTAAATAGCGGATTGCGACATGACCTAATTACGTTTCCGATAGGTATACACTACAACTCCCTGGAAAAAGTCCTGTTCACCCTTCCCTTTTAAAGGAAAAAAATAAAATTAGATAGAACAATTAAGTCATGTTGCATAATGTATGTTAAGTATATTATAAGGCTAATTCCATAGTACTTAAAATTATAGTAACATAAGTTTAGTTATAAAATTAATCTAGTTATAATTATTATTTTTAAGTGTAATACAATTTCGTATTATTCTTATGTATAAGATATTCCTTATTATCCTTCAAGATTTTTACATTGGGTGACACTTCTTCAATAACTAAAAATGGACCATTATAAATGTTTTGGAGTTTATCTCCTGTTTGATTTTTCACTAAAATAAGGTCACCTTTTTTATATGTAATAGGATAAGTACATTTGTCATACAATAATTTTCTTTTCAACTTACTAGAAAATAAATTATTTTTTGCATCGTACTGTGCTCTCTGTAATCGATACTTCATCTCTTTAGGGTAATCATTATAATTATACAATGGTTCTACTGACATTCCAAAGTCTGAAGGCAGTTTACAAAGTTTTCCAAACACTAATTCGAATGGAGTGTATTTTGTTAGTGTATGTACCGTAGTATTATAAGAAAATGTCCAAAATGCTAACCAGTCGCTCCAGTCTAAAGTGTTCCTATCACACTGTATTCGCAGATATGCTCCTAATGACTTATGACTATTTTCTAGAGAACCTATTGTTTCGTGGTGATAAGCCGTTGAATTTAATTTTTGTATATGTAATATTTTGCAAATATCAGTCATAATATTAGACATAAATTCTGTGCCTCTATCACTAATGATTTCCTTAGGGATTCCATATCTTAAAATAAAATTGGTTACAAAAACTCGTGCTACAGATTCGGAATCTTTACTGGGCAAAGGATACGCTTCTACAAATTTAGATAAATCGCATTGCAGCGTTAAAATGTATTTGTTATTATTAATATCAACTGGCAATGGACCCATGATATCTAAAGCTATCCTTTCAAATGCAGAGCTTGCAGTATTTGTGATAACCATTGGCTCCTTAATACTATGATTCGAAAATTTATTAAATTGACAGTGACTACATTTTTTGACGTATTCTATGACGTCATTAGTCATTCCTGGCCAATAATAGTATTGTTTTAAATTATTCAACATTCTGTTTACCCCTGCATGACCGCTAGTGGGCAACATATGAAAGTCGTTAAGTATAATTTTCTTATCCTCGTAGCTACTTATTCTTATCACATCTCTAGTAATTAAAATTTTTGGTACCTTCTGATGCAATTTTTTCATATAACTTGCAAGTATTTTTATATTAGTTGCATTTTGCTTAGTTTTAATGATTAAAATCTCATTAATATTTTGTTTTTCACAAAAAGATCCTAAATCTCTCGCTAACACCTGTGGGGTAGATAACGATCGAGTATCTAGGTATATAGTACACTGTGAAGGCACATAAATACAAATTTTCTTATCAGAGAAAAGACAATCCGTGTTCTTATTTATTTTTTCACTAGTGAAAACTAACTCTGTCACGTCCTTGGGTTTTTTAAGAATCTCTACAGTCTCAGGTTGATCAGGCCTGCTACTGGTAGATAACTCTTCAGTCAAATTATTTTTATAGACCGGTTCTTTAGACTCTAGCTTTTTACTTTGTGCTCGAGTAAGTACCGATACAACTTGTTCATTAAGTGATTTTAATTCCTCACACGTCATCGTCAGAAGACGATCGGGAGTCGACTTAATGCGTCTGCAGCTGCATTATTTCAACCCGGGATATACACGATCTCAAAATCATACTCTTCGAGGTAGAGCCTAAACTTAGTTAGTCTACTGGACGGATCTTTTATACTAAATAAATATACGAGCGGTTTGTGGTCTGTAAGGATTTTAAACCTTCTACCGTACAGATACGGTCTAAAATGCCTTACAGCCCATACTATAGCGAGCAATTCTAAATCGATTATAGGATATCTGCTTTCGGCTGGCGATAAATTACGACTTGCGTAAGCGACAACATGACTATTTTTGTTTGACAAAACGGCGCCTAATCCTGTTTTACATGCGTCTGTACGTAACTCAAAAATATTATTTTCGAAAAATCTGGATACTGTAATACGGGTGGGGACATCAAAAGGGATTTTAATTGTTGAAATGATTTTTCGCATTCGGTTGTCCACTCAAATAAAACATCTTTTTTGCATAATTTATTTAACGGAAAAGCTATATTTGCAAAATTAGGTATAAATCTCCTATAATAATTAGCAAAGGCTAGGTATCGTTTTACGTCGTCCGCGTTCGAGGGAACCGGATACTTGCGCAATGTCTCTATTTTGCTATCGTCGGGAAAAATACCTTGCGACGTTATTTTGTGTCCTAAATAAACAATTTCGGTTTGTAAAAATTCGCATTTCATTGGATTTAATTTTAAATTGACTTTTCGTAAACGTTCTAATACAGTTACTAGGTTTTTATTGTGATTATCTATGCAATTTCCAATAACGACGCAATCATCTAAATAAATAAAAGCTTGATTATAATTGATACCTGACATAGCAATTGTCATTAATCGCGAGAAAACACTAGGAGATGTTTTTAATCCCATAAGAGAACGCTTCATCTGATACATTTTATCAGTTGTAAAGGCTGTATATTTTCGGGATTCTGGGTCCAATTCAAGTTGGTACATTTTATCTACACTAAATGCAGTATATTTTCTTGAGTTTTCGTCTAAGCATAATTGGTAATAACTTTGTGATAAGTCTAGTTTTGAAAAATAAATACTACCTGATAAGGAATCTAAAATATCGGTTATATTTGGCAAAGGGAATTTATCATCTTTTATTCTGTTATTAAGTTGCCTATAATCAATAACTAATCTCCATTTCTTTTCGTTTGACCTATCTGTTTTTTTTGGAACTAAAAGAACTGGACTGGACCATTCCGAAATTGTTTCCTCTATTATATCGTTGGCTAACATATCATCAATTTGTCTTTGTACCTCTTGCTTTAGCGAATGAGGTATTCTATAGGGCTTTATATAACAAGGAGAGACATTATCCTTTAAGGATATGCTATGAGTCATAACATTGGTAGTCGATAATTTATCTCCTGGAAAATGAAAAACATCTGCGTATTTCGCACAAATATGTTCGATACTACGTCTTTCTTCCTGATTCATATTTGACAAATTCAATAACTCAAACAATAATTTTACTCTACTCACACTATTCTGTTCTTCCGAAATACAACATACGTCAAAATAATTCAAGTCATAAATAGTTATATTTTGAAAATCATATTCTACTTCATTACTTATAGTATTTAATATTCTCACGGAAATGCGACCATTATTTGGTTTTGCAATTAATCCAGCTACGAAAACTCCTTGCTGAATCTCTTTTGATAAAACAACGCAATCGCTAGAAAATGATGTAGGAATAAACCTTATAACTTCGCACCGCGGCGGAATCAAATGTCTGTACCTAGCGTTATACGATATTTCAATAGAAACATTCATGTTATTGTTAGTTAATTGTAACACACTATTTTTATAATTTATTATCGCATTATAGCGTTTTAAGAAATTATATCCTAAAATACCATTAGCTGAGCAAGACATATTTTTAAAAACGTAAAACTTTTCTCTAAATACTATATCATTATAAACTAAATTTAAAAAAATATAACCTTCCGATTCTAATCTTCCACTTACTCCCTTAATAGTTATTCTATCATAACATAAGTATTTTAATAACTGAGGATACTTACTAAGCCATTCATACCTTAATACACAGAGACTTGCTCCACTATCGACTAAAAGATTTATTATCTCGTTACATACAAGGAAAGTTACTGTACTACTGTTATTAAAATTAAAAATAAAATTATCTGAATTAACGAAAAAAATCACTTGTCGTGTCATAATTAACATTTTGATTATTAGTACTAGTGGAGGGCAACTCGTTTTTTACGGGTGCCATCTCCTCAACGACAGTGTGGCGTGTTGGTGCAGCTGATCTACGTGACCTTGTGCTATATGATCCACGTGCACGACCTTGTTGATATGCTGCACCGCGCGGTGAGCTGTAAGAGCCGCGTGGTGTATTGGGTAAGGGTTTCGTATTATAGCGATTGTAATTATTTGAATAATTACCGCGTGCTCTCATAGTGTTATTACTATTACGATGACAATAATTGCTACCACGATAAAAGGCTTTACGACGACTGACATTCATTACCTCGAATGATGAAGACAGGGACTGCTCATCCATGGCAGTTCTGATGGCTTCCGGCAAGGTCTCGAACTGTCTCGATGCTATAATAGTACTAAGTCTACGGTCATACAAACCATCTGCGAAGCGCTTGATAGCGATTCTCTCATTAATTGGTTTTAAAACTTTGTATGAATTAGGATCACCACTAGACTGAGCGATTGTTAAGTTGACAAATAAATTTTCTAATTCTGAACCAAACGATTCGATAGATCGATTGCCTTGTTTACTCTGATGCAACTTCCATTGTAAAGCGACTTCTGATTTTTTTTGAATAAGATGTTTGCGCATGTCATTTAAAAGATTTTCAATTGTATCGTAAGTTGAACTCAGCCGTAACTGTGCGCTCGGTGAAAGTCGAGTTTTTAAAACAAATTCAATTAATTGACTTTTAGATTTGTCCGAGATCATCTTACTGTACAATTCTGTACTATTTATAAGGGAATTAGTAACAGACTCTTGACGAGATCATTACAGGCAATAAGGCTATGGCAGTTTTTAAATCAAACTCGCAATTATCACTCATTTTGACTATTTCACTTTGTTTCTGCTCAGAAATTGATAACTCTATAATTTTATTAAAAATTTGATGAATTTCATTTATTATTTTATGGATGGAAGTTATATCACTAGTAGAAATCTGTTCAGTTTCAATTTGAGAATGCAACACAGACAAAATACTCTCCAACTTTGAATACAAAACTTTTGCCTCTTTAACTTTTTTCAAACCAAGGTCCTGTTGCCTTCCTTTAGGTCCTAATTTAACTAAATAATCTCTAAGATATACTAATGATTTATGTAGTTCATGAATTTCAAATACTACACCTGACATAATTATCTAAACTAAAAACAATAAAAACATTAATTACGTGCTTCATAACGATAAATTGAAAATAAAAATAGTTAAAAAAAAATATATGATTACATACTTTTTAATTTGGTTGTTCAAGATACACCTTTTTACTAAGATTCTTCCGAGGGACTGGGGCAGGCGAGCTGGCTGCAGTGGTGCTGATACGGTGATATGACTGGCTGCCGATGACCGATGATGACAGACGTTTTGGCCGGGCTGAATCCTGGACTCCTCTTGTTAAACTTCTTAGACTGCGCTGGTAGTGAGGTCAGCTCGTGAGATGGTGGCTATGTTGTTCCTGTTGAGCTCTCGTTGTATGGTGCGAACAAAATGTTTATTGCATTTCTTGAAAATGTAATAAATTGCAGCAAACAGGATTATGCAGACGGTCGCTCCGATCAAAATTTCTAGGATAGCCAATTTTTCACTCTGGGATTGGGATGCTGTTGCCGAAGCTGCTCCATTTGCGTTTGAGCTATCACAACTTGTTCTTTGGATGCCGATTTTCCCATTATTTGTTTCTTCTGTAATCTCTTGTAGTCTTAATTCTTGTGAAAATTATCTTGTATTCTTGAAAAATACGGATCTTGAATTTTTGGAAATAGGTTTGGTCTTCTTTTGACTGAGTTCTTGGTGGAAGTATATTACACGATTCGAATGGCAAGGGTCGCCATCTAATATTAGCCCATCGTTGGTTATTTAAGGAAACATAGTTTATAGTTTGAAGTCCGTTTATTGAGTGCAATAAAACATTACAATATAATTGAATTAATACTATTGCTTACTTGCTAAAACTATCTACGTAAATAGCGGATTGCGACATGACCTAATTACGTTTCCGATAGGTATACACTACAGCTCGTTCACCGTAGGTGATAGCATGATGATATGTCGCCTATATGTTGACCCGACTTCTTAATAATATTCGTGCCAAATTTGAAGTAAATCCATGCAGTACTTTTTGGGTCTATCCCGGACACAGACAAACAGACAAAAAATTTAAAAACTATATTTTTGGCTTCGGTATCGATTGCAGATCACACCCAAAGTATTCTTTTTAAAAATATTCAATGTACAGTTTTGACTTTCGTACCATTTTATTATATGTATAGATAAATTGGCATAACGTTTCAGGAATGCTGGAAAGACGGCAACGTCTGCATAAAACCAAAACCTTTATTAGAAGTCCGCGCGAGGGTGCAGTCTTCGCTGCGCACACTGCGACAAGACATCAAAAGGAATTTAAACCCTACTCCTTACAAGGTAAGGAATAATTTTACAATGGCTAAACCTGGAACAAATAATTCTAAAAAATACCACAAAATAGAGTTTGACATTGTAGTAATGTAAAGAACGCCATTTTACATGTCTTGTGGACTAAAAAATATAAAAAAATCGACACATTCCATATGCCCGGATAGTTAAGTGTTGATTCGATTTCAACCTGATTTTATAGCATTTTTATATTATTATATTTTATATAAACATTTATTTATTTGGGGCTAGGCTAATTGGTTTGAGTGTTTTTAACAAGAAAATTGCCAATGACAGTAATTTTAATAACGGTAGCATTTTACATGTCTTGTGGACTAAAAAATATAAAAAAAATCGACACAGTCACTATGGCCAGATACTTACGTGTTGATTCGATTGCAACCATATTTTATAGCATTTTTATATTATTATATTTCATATAAACATTTATTTATTTGTGGCTAGGCTAATTGATGTGAGTGTTTTTAGCAAGAAAATTGCCAATGACAGTAATTTTAATAATGGTAGCGACAGCTTTGCGGAACTCCCAATATATAATATATATTGGGAGTTGTATAATATATATTGTAAAAAATTATATTATATTTTTTTGACAAACAAGTAAATATAATTATATTGTCTTATAGGTGGCTGTCAGTGATGATCTATATTGCTTCATTCACGATTTGTGGCTTCAAAACGCACCCATCGGGGAACTATCTTGAAATTAGTCTTAAGATTAAATACTAGCAGTTGAATATGAAACCCAATACCTATTGAACCTTACGAACAAATAGCAATGAGATGTTTTTGAAGCATTGCAAACAAATAAAGCAGAAGGTTTCACGGGTCCTAATCTGAAAATGTTATTATGTTCTATATTGGTGTTGATTCTATTGCATACTTCTATTGAATGAAAAATCAAAATAAAATAAAAAAATGTCTTTAGTTTTGTAATTCTAGCAGTTAAATTTATTATATGATTGTGAAATAAATTATATAAGATTATATATCTGTTGAAGTTTTAATTGATATAATGAAAATATTTTAACATCCTCTTGTTTGAATAAAGTATTATTATGAAACATGTTTATGAAAGAACTATTTTGATATTGCATTTAAAGCCGTAGTTTTCTTTTTTTTTACTAATATTGTTATCTAATGGCTGCTCCTAAATACGTCCATAAATTTTAATGCTGCTCTAAATATAAGTCTGGTTTTGCCTTATTTTAATGTTATCGCAAAGACAGTGACAGCATCAACATTTAAGTTAATTTACTTCAGACGGTGTGTCCGTCTATAAGTTACGATTGTTTAATTAACCAATTATTGTTAGTTTGTTACTTTACTGAACAGAGAGAGAGGTTTCTGCAGATTATTTTAAAGAGTATGCGATAGAATTGACTTCTACAAAATACCAAGTGCCATTTATATCACAACACGCGTGAAACGCTTTCAGTACCCGGTTCTTGCTTTAGGGTACAGCTGAATTCATTAAAATAAAATTGGCCTTCGCAATGAAACAATGTACCAAAGTTAATTTTAGTACTGTATTTGCACCTCTTTTATGGAGTGAATCACTAAAAAAAATATGTGTTGTATTTTCGCAAATATCCTTGCACTTCTGTGATCGATTAACGGCTAAGAGATTAGTGTCTTTCTTTTATATTACTCTGAATTAATAAAATAACTCTTATTTGAAGATTGCTATTCAAGTTTATTGCAATGTCGTTTCTGAATATTTTTGTGTGTCGCGTTTGACGTACATTACATGTTCCATCATTAAAATCAATCATAAATTACTTATGAAGTATTAAAGTACATTCTTTTGCGAAATCTCTAATTTGTTTTGTTCCTTATTCAAAAACGAATTGTTCTTATTATTTGACACAAAATATTTTCCACGTGTATAATGTTTCGCTTTGAAGAACTTAAACATTGATTAATTAATATAAAACATGTTATATAGCTATACTTATTATAAATAATTGTTTTTATTTAAACTAGTCAAACTTTATTTAGTATATTGGGTTTTCATTATAGAAATAACTGTAACGGTAGCTCTAAAAGGAATCGAATTCATATTGTCATTATGATTTATATTTTAAATATAGTGATCTGTCCATTCTTAATATTGTTGCATTCCTGGGTAGGTATTTAATTATAAGTAACTATTCGACCAAAAACAACGATCACACTTCAAAGTGGTAACTTTTTTATGTTATATTTTTATAAGGAAAATAAGTGTGAATGTGTTTTAATCACTGCCTAAAACGGTATAACATTTTCCAATATCAATAGAGTAGGTACACAATAGTGCATTTAGTTCAACATTATATGTGTATGATAACTTTTTTTTATATTGTTACTATTGTTTACTTATGTCCAGTATTACGGATAATGAATAAATATATTGTAAAACTAACAGTGATTAAGTGAACAAAAATTAAACCTAAATCCTCAAGAGTGAAATGCTTTTGCAACCCTTTTAATATGTAAGTTTAATTCTGTTTAATATATTAATTCTATGAGCACTTATGTTTATTTATTACTTATTTTTTAAACAGTTTGTTATGGTGTAAGAAAGAAGTTAAAATATGTTTAGTGGTAGGTTAGCGCTTTGTTATTTGTTTTCTGTATGATAAAAATATTTATACGTACATTTCGACTATAGTCTAAAAGAAAAAAATGTATTTTTGCAATATTTCAATATGATCATGATTTTGTACAATTATATAGCTACAAAGAGTTATTACAAGTTTTAATTTAAGATTGTTCTTTCCTGTGTGCAATTTAAATACGAACTTATTTACTGAACGCATTAAAAATAATCGAAGGCATATAATGTAAAATGGCATTTAATGATTTATAAAGGCCGAAACAGACTTTTGAAACGCCACGCGATGCGTATTTTCTATGATCAGTGTGTGCGCATCGCGTTGAATCGGATGTTCCTAATGTGATTCTGATCGTAGAAAATAGTACATTTGATTTGACTTAACACGCGTCGCGTTGCGCCGCGTGTCGAAAAGAAAAGTATGTTTAGGCCTTTAGATGTTCCTTTTTCTTTTAATAGGGATTAGTCTAATGAAGAGTACACTTATTTTAAAGATTATGTTTAACGCTTTTTAATTATTTCTGTTATACGCACACACATATGCATTAAGCTGCAGGAGTTCTAAATATTCACAACAAATGTCAGAAAACTATTATTTGGATTCCTGACAATTTAAAATTTATACATGTATATATATATATTTGTATAACAATATACCAAATTTATTACAATGTTTTGAGATGTTTTGTCTCCAGGGGGTCTAAAAATAGCGAAATTTGGAAACATTAAAATAAGAAGTTTTAATTGAATTCTTAAATTTGACATTTAATGACGTTTCATCAACTCTGTCAAATCGATATGTCATTTCATACCAAGTTCGTGTAAAAATATCTTAATAATGAAAGGCTATTCCCCTTAGGGTGCTATTATCGGTCGATAATACCCTATAGGTGAGAACCTTTATTATTTGAAAAACTAATATAGCTACCTATTATGAATCTTTTATTAAACATGAAATTCACAATTTTGGTTCCCCAGGTTCATAGACAAAATTTTTGTGGATTAGCTATTTATGTATACTCGTAAAATAATAATTTATAAAAAAACAATATAATCGTGTTGTGAAAAGTAAATAGATATTTTATTATAATATTGTATAGAAGCACAGATCGATTATATAAATAAGTACTTTTTACTTTTAAAGTTCTTTGGTATTAAGTTACTAAATACATAATACACACAAATACACCATCATTACCCCGGAAACACTGAACCAATTTCAGAAATTTCACAACAAAAGTTACGGGCGTTGGCGTTAATAGGCTAGTTGACTCATGTCAAGTGTATTAAATAAATGTTTATTTCTTAGAGTATTTGGTCTAAAAAACCTAAATATATCGATTTCACTTCATATAAGCAGAAGATTACTGTAGAAATTTAATTTAAAAAGATAATTTTTAGTCTATACTTTTTGAACACTAAAAACGCTGTTCGCCAAATCCGCCATGAATGTGACGTGTCTTTGGTAGTAAAAACACATAAATGTCATTCGCGTGTTACTGTGGGTGGATTCTTTCGTCTGACTAAATTTATTTCAAAACTGATAATAAATGAAGAGACTTAAAATATTATTCAATGAGTATTTAAATCAAAGTGATTTTCGCAAAAATAAATTTTACTATGAGTCGATAAATTTGCAGAATCCCTTTTAGGAAGTTCTAACCAGGTATTGCGTAGGTTAATTTCTTTCGGCACTTTAATCCAGAGCTTTCCTGGAGTCTTCAAGGATGTGTTTTTACATTCTCGTACAATACAATAATGATAAATTACTATATTTTTCGTGGTATTTATTAGAAATCATGTTTTTTTTTAATTATAAACTCAGTTCAGTTATTTTCTACGTGCTTACGAGTTTTTGTTTACTACCGGTTGACGTTTTTGTATGTCCATGAAAAGTCAATTTTTAAATTAAAGATTTGTAGCTTTCTAGGTTCTCAATAAAATACAATACATTTTTTTTCGGTCTAATAGAACATTTATTAACTGTTTAAAACCTCTTTCCAAAAAGGGTCAACTAGCCTATTTAATTCAGTTTTTTGTACAGAAAACTTCTTTAGTATCATTGTGATTTGAGATTCGATGAAACAGAAGTAGAGTATTTTACACAAGATAGGTATCCGTAATTCTAACTGCCTAGTATAAAAGACAGACAGCCGAATGGTAACGTTCTTGGGGTCGACACCAAATGATCGGTGGTTGGATCCTGAGGACGGTATTCTTTTTGTTTTTTTTTTTATCTTTAATGAGTTATTATTTATTTTCGAAACAATAAAGTACCATAGAATATTTAAAATTGCCCAGTATTTTACAATACTTGTTAAATAGTTAATAATAGACGTTTGGTTGTTTATTAAAACAGGTTTTCTTTTTAACACTAATCCTTACCTTTCCAATGTTTACAATTTTTGTACCCAAGATAAGAAAATCATAACAACAGAAATGAAATAAAAATAGCTGATTACAAATAAAGCCGCGGGTTAGTTTTTGATTGTAACGCTAATAAAACTATGATCTTTTCACATCCCTGACACGGGTAAATCTTGAGGAACATGTGGATATATCACTCTTTGAGATTAAAAGGCATCACAACAACCATGGTGTTTTCTAAACGTGTATGTATTATACGTTTGTAGACATTTTTCATCATATTTATAATAAAATTCTTCAAATATGCCGAAAACTTATGCAGGATATTGTCGCGATTATCAAGAAAAAGAAAGGGGAAAAAGTGTTAAAAAGGCAGCAAATAAGGTACAATTCATTTCCGATCAGCTTGATCCTTTGGCTTTGCGTAGGGATGTAGCTTCGCTCTGCATCTTCCATCGCATTTATCACGGGGAGTGTTCGGAGGAATTGTTCGGATTAATTCCAGCTGCTGCATTTCGCCATCGTGCATCGCGACAAAAATTTCATCCCCATCATCTTGATGCGTGGCTATCCACAACCGTGCGTTTTTGTCGAAATTTTTCACCACGTACGACAAAACTGTGAAATATATTGTCGCCAACAGTGTTTCCGGACCAATACGACCCAAAAACCTTCAAAAAAAGAGCGTACTCACTCCTTAAAGGCCGGCATCGCATTTGTGATACTCCTGGTGTTGCAAGTGTCCATGGGCGACGGTGATCACTTACCATCAGGTGAGCCGTCTGCTCGTATGCCCCCTATTAACATACAAAAAAAAAACGCAATGGGCTGCAGGCGACAACCGCAGGCGACACTGCTGCTGACCGTGCATTATATGCATTGTGCAGCTGCATCTCGTGTTTTGTTATTTAGAATCGCAATCTCGCGGGGCCCTGGGTGCGATCCCGGGTCGGGTCAACTTAGAAAATTAACTTTTATTTATTTCCGCAGGTCTAGCTGATTGTTGTATCGTATTTTTTCCGATTTCCTTGATACAAAAGCTTTAGCTAAATAATTTTGAATATCAACTATGTATGTGATGTTTTACAATATTTATTTATTTTGATACCGTATATTATATATGCGGTTGTTAATAGTTTAGTTCTTGGTCATAATCGTTAGATAGCTTCTATCTTATCTTCATAAATTAAGTAAATATTTACTTATTTTTTTAGTGCCGCCATCTAAGATCGCGAATATGCAAAAATTTTCTATACGGTTACTGGTAGTGTTTTTGTAATCAATCAACCCCACAATCTCGCTAGGTATCGGGATTGGGTCAACTTATAAAATTAACTTTTTTTTATTTTCTCGGGTCTAACTGAATATTTTATCGTAGTTTTTTTCTGATTGCCTTGATACAAAAGCTTAATTTAGCATTTTTTTAATCGTAATATTATGTATAATAATATGATATTGTACAATATTTATTTAATTTTGATATGTTAATTACAGTTTCTATCTAATCTTTGTAAAATATGTAAATAATTTGTTTTTTTAATTCGTTTTAGTGCTGCCATCTATCGACAAATTAAGCATTTTCTAATACGATTACGGCAGTGCTTTTATAGCTAGCATATAAGCATGCGTGCTTTAAATTATCTAACCTTTAAAATAGTATGCTTAAAATTCCTTAGATGGAGCGCGCGATCGCAAGTACATTTATGAAACTTGAAGTCGTATAAAGCTTATTTTTGTTTGCGAAAAATATAAGTTAAACTAAATAGTATATTAATGTTTCAATTAGTTTAATGATGTCTTTAAACATAACGCACATTTGTTTTTTTTTCTTTTATTAACCTATTTTTTTTTCGAAACAATTTAAGTACAAAATATTTAATTTTGACCTAGAGAGTTGCATTTTAACACAGGTGTTGTCTTTAAGACGTCCCTAGTCGTGAAAGACTTACGTGTTCACATTTCTGTAGGTTTAACTTCTATCGCATGTGATCAGCACATGTTGGTTGTTTTTGTAATAAGGTTTAATTTATAGTTTCACCGCCATAAACCCGACCCTCTTGATGGTCCGCGGGATGCGGGGCGGCGCGGGCGGGTGTGCACGGGTATACACGGCATTACGGCGCGGCGAGATATCACATGATATTTAAATCTTCGTGTTGTTAATTCAAAAGTGTTAGTGTTTGTATTAGGTACATAACGAATGAATTTGTGTAATAATTTGGTTCTCATAAAAAATAGTTTAAAAGGTAAGATTATTCCGACGACGCATTCCTGAAAAGGATGCTGAGGATGATATTCCGGAATAATGATTCTGACGACGCATTCCTGAAAAGGATGCGAAACGTCAATAAATAAATAAATTCACTGCATATGCACCCGTTAAAACTGTTTTATTTAATAAGTGACGTGCGTGAAAACCTAAGAAACAAATAAATAGTCTCTTACTTTGTGATATGTACCTAAATTTATTTCAAAGAAATACCTAGTCTTGCAATAAAAATTTTTAGAACAATAATATATTTATTTCATTCCCTACATTTAATCTGTGATTGACTTCTTACATTTTTATTTCGTATTCTCGGTAATATCATGTTTGTTGTGTGCAAAGCCGAAATTGATGTCATATGTAGCCGAGACAAGACTGCAACCGCGCGAGCTCTGACGTTAAACGTCTATTGATTGGTCGAGCGCAAGCGCATCTCCCTCCCGCGCCCGCAGCGTGTCAATTATGCTTTAGAGATTTAATCCTAATGTGATGTCAATATGATGTTGATGCCAAGTTGATATTGTTTTTAAATGGTATTATGAAACATTCCTATGTCACATCAAGATCATATCAATATCACGTAATGTGAAATTGACATCAAAATAACATCACAATTAGCGAGCATAATTGCTCTCCTGACCATGGGAGGATCGGCTTTACAGCGGTCAAAATATTTTGTTGCCATTTCTGTTTAGTAAAGTTTTTTGTTCATTATATTTTTCTTACTTTGTCTTCGGTCAACAGCAAGCGCTGACAACGGATCACTTAATACTTTAAATTATTTAAAGATTTTTTTAGTGTAGTAAATATTTTCTATAGTGAAAAAATGTCGTGAAACGTCTGAATAAATATAAATATCTTTACTCTTAATCATTATGAAAATACTAAGTACTTCGCACTTTTCCCCTTTGATCTAATGCCTATGTACAGGAGATACTCATCTGCCTCTTCTAATCAATAATTATTCAACAACAACAACACAACAGTCTGTGCTGACATACTGATGGTCAAGTTAACAAAATTAAATATAGTCGAGTCAATAAAGACATAAAACAAGCAAAACTTGGAAACCCGGTGGAACAGCTCCGATTTTGATATTTTTTTTTATATTATTCAAAATCAGAAACCTTTGGAAGGGGGGAAATAATTTTTTTTATTGTTTAAACATTATTTATGACATTTTTATAAAAAAATCACTTTTATCGCTTTTTTTTGAAAACAATATTATTATGTTAATGTTAGTATAAAACATAGTTGTTAAAATGAGGCTTTTAATAATAATTTAATATTTAAACCATTAAAATACGATGTATTGGTCAATATTATGAATGCGTTGAGCACTTACGTTATATTTAGTTACTTCATATATATATATATTTTATAGATAGGTCCGACAAATGAATCCACCCCACCTGATGTTAAGTGAAGGTGAAGTCCAGACGCGAAGATAGCTGATACAGCAGTTCTACCTGCCACACCAGCCATCCTTACCCTGCCGGCCTGCATGTTGCTTCCTCACGCCTCTTTTAAAGGATCCCAGGTTGTAAGAGGGAGGGAACACGTGAGCGGGCAGAGCATTCCATTTACGGATAGTGCGACAAAAAATGAGTCACCAAATTTCTTTGTACGCGTTGGAATTGTGGCCACAGTAAGACGGTGACAACGTAGGCCAGCGCGTGGTCCTCTGAAGGAAAGGGGAAGGTGGGATAAGAGAGAATAACTCCTCAGAACACTCGCCGTGGTACAGACGATAGAACGCGCACGCCACGTCACGGCTCAAGATGTTGAGTCACCTTCTCATCGCCTATGATGCGGATCGCGCGCCGCTGTAACCTATCCAAAGCATCGAGCAAGTACTTGGCGGAGCCATCCCAGAGATGCGAGCAATATTCCACGCAGGACCGCACTTGCGTTTTGTACAACAAGCACAGTTGATCGGGCGTGAAAGAACGCCGCACCTTGTTCAGGACTCCGAGTTTGCGTGAAGCTGTTTTGATCACGGTTTCGATGTAGTCCTTTGGATTCAGGTCTGAGCGAACCTCCATACCGAGCATGGAAATGTTGCTCTGTAGCGGTAGTGTTTTGCCCTGAAGATGATAAATAAATAAAATTAATATAAAATAAGATGACGGGTCAGATGGTTATTAAGGAGCTTTTCTAGAACTTTACATAAAACTGAGATGACTGCTATTGGCCGGTAGTTTGCAGGGTCTGAGCGATCCCCTTTTTTGGGCACCGGTTGCACGTTAGCATCTCTCCAAGTCTCGGGCACACGCCCCAAAGAATACGAGCATTGGTACAAGCGCGTGAGCACAGGAGACAACTCCGTTGCACAATTTTTTCAGTACTACTGCTGGAATGCCATCAGGTCCACTAGCTTTCCGGACGTCGAGTGATTGCAATTCGGCATGAACCTCACACTGCCTCCTGCGGCTTATGAGCTAGTGTTCCGTCTGGGCATCTCAGAGGTGGCAGCGAGGGCTGGCAGAAGGTTTTTTGCACGGCTTTGGCCAAACGCCAGTAGCTACAGGAGCGTAGGATACGTTATAAGTTCCTGGCCAATACGTGCAACGCGCTGGGCATCCGATGTAAGCCTTCTTACAGGCCTTGGAAGCAAAATTGTAGGCTGCTTTGAGTGAATCGACCTCGGAATCCTTGAGAGCGATATATATTGGTTGGCCTCTGACCCAATATATATATCATATATTTTTTTTATAAATATTTTTTTATTTATGTTAACAATGAAACTATTAATTTCTTATATTTCATGAAATATATCCTAACTTTTTTATGTATATCAGCGTCATGTCATTATATTACATGAAAGATCTTATAATTAATTGTTTTTAAAAGTTTTTGATATAATAAAATGTAAATTAAAATTATTTGTGATAACAATATAAAAACAATAACATAAACATATTTTTTTTTGTGAATTTTCAATTGATATTTTATAAAAAAACATTTTTTTCCAAAAATGTTATAAAAATTGTTTAAATAATATAAAAAATTATTTCCCCCTCTCCAGAGGTTTCTGATTTCAAATAATATAAAAAAACAAAATTATTAAGAAAAAAATCATCAAAATCGAAGCTGTTCCACCGGGTTTCCAGGTAAAAAGCTTCATTGACTCGACTAATAGCAAAGACGAATAGCGAAGTGCTGGCATCACGGATACTGTATAACATTAGTGTAAATATAAATTTAATTTATTTAAATTTACTCAGGGTCGTATTTACAAATCTGGCGCTCCAAGCCACATACAATTTGGCTCTCGGGTAAATACGCCCCTGAATTTACTTTAATTATTTGAATATATGTTAAAAAGACGTTTGAGTTTGAAATATCTTGTGTATAATAAATAAGATAGAGTGCTGGCATGGCTGACAGCCTATGATACAGCCTACACCTGAGTACAAATAAAGATCGTTCATTTATTGTAAGTAAATGCTTCAAGCTCACAACACAACTGCATTTGCAATATAATTTTGGGTACATTTGATTGTAACATTAAGTAGCACAAAATCTTTGCTATTAAGCAGATCTTGCTTTTAGAATAAATACTTATTGTGATAGAGGTGAAATAAAATCTAGTTTACTTTTGTATTCTGTTTTTCATTTAAATAGGTATGCAACGCTATAATGCCACACAAATTAAATAAATCTTAAAAAATATAAATTAAAAACATGCATATTTTATTTTTTTATATAGTGGCACCATCTAGCGTAGGTACTTTGTCTACATCATATAAAAATATCCCAGAAGTTAGAGAATGATTGAGATGAGAAAGATTTTTATTACAAACATATTTAAAGTGATCTGTTTTGAAAAATCCGATACCGCACGGATTTGTGTACCTATTGTGATTAATGAAATCAAAAAGGGAACGGGGTATTTGACAAGTTTTAGAAACGATCTCAAGTTATTAGGCGTCCATAAAAATGGATTAATCATCACAATGTTGTGTATTTCAGTAAAAAAAGCAATGAAAAATTCAATTTTCAAGTTGCCGCGAAAAGGTTTCTGGACATTATGGGCTCGGTAAGCAACGCTCTAATTTCTACCTGCTACCCTACCTCTCTTGCCGAATCGGCCTGTTTTCACCCAGAGATTTGCAAGGAGGCGTAGCGAGGAATGTATTTGTAAAAAAACAATACAACTCTTAACGGGGCGGTTAGCATAACCCGTAGCTTAATTGCTACTAAATCTCTGCTAACCGCCCCTTTAAAAAAAACGCCGTGGTAGATGATACTTGGATCTGTGCTACCTACCCAGTTAAACGATGGGGTCGATGGAACATTTTTTCCCCAACTGTACCGTTAACGGGGCGGGCGGGACAGTATATAAGGCGTCCCACGGGTTTGTCACACGGAGGAAAAGTATATTGAAGATAGAATATTTTACTGAAAGAAGTCATCATTTTATTTTTATAAATAACGAACTGCATTCACAGATTTTATTAAAATCGCCTGCTACAACTGGGAATCTAACTCGTGAAATTTGAAAAGAATACACATGACATATTTTATGATAACCATCGAAAGGGTTAATCAGAAGGATTATTTTTTCCTGAATAACATAGCATTTTAAATGAAAGGAAGATTATGAAATTAATTTTTTTTTCAGGACAATTTCCACTTTCTTTTCCGTGTTTCCTACAGCTTGTCATGCAGCGGCAAAATAAATTGATTAGGAAAGATAAAAAGAAAACGACAGTAAAAGATTAAAGCATATATATTTACAAGAATAAAATATTTACAGAAAAACAATATAAAAAAAAAACGAGCCTTACAGTAGTCGCGTATAATGTGTAACATTTGAAACCTCACCTTATATTAGTAAAAAAAAGAAATAAAACCTACTATAAAAGGAATAAGCCATTTGAACATCATGTTCTAAATTCAAATCAAATATCGCGCGCTTTCGCGACTTCCTGTTACACACTTCCGTCCCATTTCACCAAATCACTCCCACAATTTGCAGGAAAGCGAGAGGAAAGATGTTACACATCAAAAAATAGTGATATAATATGGATGTATGAAGTGTAGAGGGCGTGGGTCGTCGGCTGTCTTCTGTGGAGGCTTGAGGGTGGGGAGGCCGTGCTGCTGGCAGACGGGCGGCGCTCCTGGTCAGGCGTCTCTGAATTCTAGGCCCGCCCTTCTAGTGACTGGCGGGCGCTGCTGGTAGGTTGGCCGGTGAAGTGGTAGGCGCAGATGGTAGTCGGGCCGAAGCAGCTGGAGGCTGGACGATGCTGCTGGAGTCCGGGCGGCAGTAGGGGTCCGCCGGTGAGGGTGACTGTATAGTGTTTTAGTAGAGTATAGTAAGACGTTTTTAGAAAGCCGGCTTTTAGATCTTTGCTTGAGTTCCGGGGCAGCCAGCCCCGGGACAAGGCCTTTGATTAAATTTGGAGATGCTCAGTAGCGAGGAAGGTAGGGCTCTGCCCCATAATTACCTAGCGACGGCCATGAAGGGTTCCCTTTTTGTTTGTAAAACTGAGAAAATCATTTTTTTTAATCATTACGGTTCTGGTTTTTACATAGAGCAACACAGCCAACGCGGCTAGGAGGGGAGTCACCATAATGACATCTACTGAAATCATTCTGCATTTGCGGGGGGAGGAATATGCACACAAATTCAGTCCAACATACTTTGGCAAAAACGAAATTGTAATTACGTACGACACTCACACATAATAAATGACAGCGCTAGATCGGTAAGAGATTCAATTCAATTTTTGGTAAGTAATTATGGTTGCATCTAATTATGTGACGATTTTGCCAATGTCTGGGTTATAGGAGACAAGATATTAAATGCTGAGCCTGTACGGTTTTGTTTATGTCGTGCAGTATGTCGACTGCAGACTGTGACTGTTGAGTAGGTATCTGTAAGCACACATTGACAGACATTTATGACACCACGCACCCATGCATTTAATATGGACTCACAGATATAAATATGTATTGATATTGTATAACTAGTCTAATGAACCAGAAGTGAAATTGGTTTTTAAAAAAAAGAACACGGCATTGGCACAAACTATATGATTTTAATTAATTACAAATTAAATAATTGAAATTATAGATAGCCCTAAGTGTCGATCCCAAGAACGTCCGTCGCCTCCGAGAGCTCGAGCAAAAGTGACGTCCCGCGCAAACGGCACTCTTATAGCAGTTTCCCGCCAACCCGATGACAGGTCACGTGATCAGTTGTCACAGTGAAGTAGCGGCTGTTATTACTAAGACGGCCTTTCCTGATGATGCGGCGTCCTCGACCGCTGGTCCTGCAGCGCCACGGTCCTCCAGAAGCTGCTCCTCACAGCCCTGGCTCGCTGAAGCCTCATCTTCACCATCTTGGTCTTCATGAAGCTGCTGTACGCAGCCCCGGCTCGTCGAAGGCTGGTCTGCATCACCTTGGACAGCTGGAAGTCGCTCTGCGCAGCTCTGGCTTACTGAGGGCTGGTCTCCCGATTGTAGGTCTTCACTGGCCTGGTCAGACACCTGGTCGGTTTCATTTGCCTCTGAAACATGCATCAGGCATTAGCTCACTTGTTCGATCTATTACTTTGAAATAGATTTTATGTTGCAAATGGAAAAATAACTGAAACTGCCTCCCTGGTACAACCACAAGCGTGCACTCAAGAACTTTATCTTAAAAAAAAAAATCTTAATGTAAAAAGTTATAAGTAATGTCCTTAGTCACTAAAATAAAATAAAACAAAATAAGTTTTATGAATAATGGTTCCGGATTCCATTATTCATAAAAAAGTAGAACACTCTTGACAGAGGCTATATTTGCATGTCAAAACGTAAATTCCCACCCAATATTGCAGAGGCCATATTTGCTTGCTATCCATACACAAAAGCACGTTTTGCGTGGTTTGTGTCTGCCTGGACAAAGCCAGAACCTGACAGAGGCAATGTTTGCGTGTCAAGAACGTATACCTACGCGTAGGCCCAAAGTAGCCATAGCGTCTGCCTGGACTCACCACCTTCGAAAAAGGCTTCGCATGTTTCGGGAGTCCACTCGCCTCGCCATCGAACCATGTGCTCGGCGGCTGCCTGGGTCTTCTTGCCATAAGCTCCCGCAACAACAACTCCAGCTCGTATCGGTGATGCGGCAGAGCCCGCACAACCTGGTAGGGGCCGCGCATGCCGGAGTCCAGCGTTCCAGCACTTTGAGATGTCTTGCTCACGAAAGCAAAGTCGCCGACAGCATACTGGTGTGGCTGCCTTCGACGCTCATTCACATAAGCGTCCTGGCGCTGCCGATTGGCCGTCAATAATTCAGACGCTCTCTGCCTTCGCAGGCTTAAAAGGGCGTCACGGTTAGGATTAGAGTTTTGTAATGCCACGTCTCTTATCAACGACCTGATAACAGGTGTAGCGGCCTCAATACCCACCAAAAGTTGCAACGCAGATGTTTGAGTAATTGCGTGTTTTGTAATATTCAATGTCAATTGAACTTTCCATAAAACATCCGCCCACTGGGAACCCTTGGCCCTCACTTCAACACGCAGCATATTAAGTACCGTGCGACAGTATCCGGTTCAGCGCCCCGTGTGGTTCTACTATAATAACCGAAAACCCGTTTCCGCTTCCCCTCATGCTCCTGAAGGAGGATCGCACCGAACCCAATAGCACTGGCATCGGTGTGAAGCTCAGTTGGCAACTTGGGGTCGAAGATTGCTAAGACCGGTTCGTTTGTCAGACATGAAATGATGTAATCCCGGGAGGCGTCCTGTTCACTACCCCATACAAAAGGCTCACCCTTCTTTAGCAGCTTGGAAATACAAGCAGTCTTAGATGCATAGTCCGCGATATACGTACGAAAGTAGCCCGCGAGTCCCAAAAACTGCCTGACATCCTTAACGCTTGTGGGTTTTGGGGATTTGACTAGTGCCTCTACCTTACCGGGACTCGGCCGTACCTGACCCTGTCCAATTAGTCTGCCCAGGTACTCCACCACCGTGGCGAGAAACGTGCATTTCTTTAAATTGATGGAGAAGCCAGAATCAGTTAAGATTTTTAGGACTTCTTGCAGCGTATCCATACCCTCCTGGACAGTATTGGACAGGATCAGGACGTCGTCGATATAAGTGAGCACCCTACCACTATCTATGAATGGTTTCAACGTCTTTGTGATCACCCTTTGATAGATGATAGAAGCGTTGGTCAAACCGTAGGGCATTTTTAAATATTCGTAGTGCCCCTCGGGCGTTACGAAGGCTGTTTTGGCGATAGAGTCATCATCTTTAAGGGGTCACTGGTGAAAACCAGTAGCCATGTCAAGGCTACTAAAATATTTAAATCAACGGCAAGGGAAACCGCTCCTTCACAGTTATAGCGTTGAGCGCTCGGTAATCTACGCACATCCTATCACTCCCGTCTTTCTTTTTGACATGAATGACAGGACTTGCATACTGTGACTGTGATTCGCGAATTATTCCCTTGCTCATCAAATCGCTAACAATATCACGAACCCGACTTTTTTCATTCGCCGAAAGTTTATATGGGCGGTAACTGACAGGGACATAAGGTGATTCCACGCATAAGGCGATACGATGGCTTTCTATTAAAATTAAAATATTTTAGCACAGATTCCGAGATAAGAGAAATATTAGAACCACTGTCCACTAATACATCAACCGCTACACTTTTAATTACAGCTGACATTTACGCTACCCGCATTTTTATTTTGAATTGAGTGAGCGCTGCTTTGCAAAACATGCATCTACATCGTGCCCGCTCCGCTTACAGAACGTGCATTGCAAATTAGACCTACTCGGTAAGGAGCTAGAGGCGGGGGTATTAGTGGATGGAGTCTTGGTTATAAAGGAGTCATTTTTAGATTTCTTGGGACAGTTCCACTTCTTATGTTCCTTACTCCCACACGTAAAACATGTAGGTACCCTCAAACTTAGGTATATCGCGCTTACGCGGATAAGAAGGCCTTATTTGAGACGAGCGAACAGAATTGTTACTGGGAGCATTCTTAATATTATCAATTTTGGGCTTAACGTAAGCAGACAAAAACTCGACCAAATCTTTTGATTGCAGTTTTGCATTCGTAGCCGCTGCCTTAACTTGGGGGTCGGTAATGCCTCGTACTATAATGGCGGTTCTTAATTCATCAGACAGCTCCGTAACTATTTTTAGACGCAGTAATGACTTACGTGCATATTCCGCGTATGTTACATACTTATTTAAATTAGAGCACATAACTTCAAACAATATAGATGCTATATCTACGCTGGGTGGGCATAATGAGCGGAATTCGGATTTAAAATTGGTCCACGTTCGCTCACTAGCGACCCACTCATGTAGCCAAGATTTAGCATCGCCCCGTAAACAACCTCCAATACGCCCAAGGCATTCACCGTCGTCCCATTTATTTAACAAACGCGCGCGATCTACCTCCGCGCACCACGAATCAAAATCATGCACACTAGGCTCAAAAGATGAAATATAAAAATTACTGGACCTTGTTTGTAACAGCGCAGATAGGGCTCCAACAATTCTTCAGCTCCCTTGGCAGCACCGGTGTCGCCCGACGTTCCCTCGGTCACCACGGGTGCAGCGCCCGTGCACTCCTTAGCAGCAG